ATATAATTATATGTATAGGGTAACAGAACTAATTAATGAAGCATATAGTTTTTGTTTTATTTTGTCTTTGAGACAGGGTCTTGCTCTGTCGCCCAAGCTGGAGTGCAGTGGCCTGATCATAGCTCACTGCAGCCTCAAACTCCTAGGTTTAAGCGATGCTCATGCCTCGACCTCCTGCCCAGCTAATTTTTAATTTTTTTGTAGGGATGGGGTCTCACTATGTTGCCCAAGCTGGTCTCAAACTCCTAGCCTCAGGTGATCCTCCCACTTCAGACTCCTGAAGTGCTGGGATTACAGGTGTGAGCCACTGTGCCCGGCTGAACAATGTATTAATAGTTTTTTCACAGCCCATTTCAGTACTGTTTTCATTAACTGTGATACTTCTGTTAGTTAAACCATAGTTAACTTCTGACTGTTATGAGATACTTCTTCATGGTAATAACTGTTAGAACAATGATTCTGTTCTTAGCCTGTGGACTTAGAGCCCCCTAGAGTTTCCACATGGAAGTCTACAGAGTCATATGTGCATTTTCCGTAGACTGAATTAATAAGACTATTATATGTATATATGCCGCTAATTTTTTTAAGGTACACAAATGCTTTTGTGACTAATTCAACAGAGAATCATCTTGATGAAGTAGACTTATTGGTATCTTTTCAGAGGAAAGCCATGTGAAGACCTAGTGCTGGAGATTTAGAATAATAGCTTTGCATAGTTTGCTTGGGAATTGATAAGGTACAGGAATGTGTTTTGAAAGCAATTAAATTTAGGTTATGTGGTGATACCTGAAATTTTCCTAGTTATTAGTAGTTCATTAACATAAGAAAATTTAAAAATTGCTGAAATTGAAATTTAAAATTCATAAATCTATTTCTTTAAGTAAAGATGGCTTTAAGTATATTTCCACCTGCTACCATAATGTTTAATTCTTTTTTTTTGAGACAGTCTCACTTTGTTGCCCCGGTGAGGGTGCCATGGCATTAACCTAGCTCACAGCAACCTCAAACTCCTGGGTTCAAGCAATCCTCCTGCTTCAGCCTTCTGAGTAGCTGGGAGTACAGGCGAGCATCACCATGCCCGGCTAATTTTTTCTATTTTTAGTAGAGATGGGGTCTTGCTCTTGCTCAGGCTGGTCTCACACTCCTGACCTCAAGCGATTCTCCTGCCTCAGCCTCCAAAGTAGCTGGGACTGCAGGCATGTACCACCAAGCACAGCTAATATTTCTGTTTTTTGGAGAGACAAAATCTCACTATGTTGATCAGGCTGGTTTCCAACTCCTGGCCTCTTGCACTTCTCCTGCCGCAGCCTCCCAAAGTGCTAATTACAGACCTGAGCCGCTGCACCTGGCCTGAGAAATTTTTTTTTTTTTTTTTTTTTTTAGCCATATTATGGGGGTACAGATATTTATGTTACTTATGTTTGAGACAAAGTCTGTTGCCCGGGCTAGAGTGTGGTAGCATCAGCCTAGCTCACAGCAACTGAGAAATCTTTTTCTTTTTCTTTTATATTTTGAGACAGAGTCTCACTCTGTTGCCCTGAGTAGAGTGCAGTTGCCTCAGCCTAGCTCACAGCAGCCTCAATCTCCTGGGCTCAGGCAATTCTCCTTCCTCAGCCTCCTGGGTAGCTGGGACTACAGGTGCACACCAAGATACCCAGCTAATTTTTCAATTTTTAGTAGAGACGGGGTCTCATTCTTGCTCAGGCTGGTCTCAAACTCCTGAACTCAAGCGATCCTCCCGCCTCGGCCTCCCAGAGTGCTAGGATTACAGGCGTGAGCCACCGCGCCTGGCCAAGAAATCTTTTTCTAACTTAATGACTATCTGTTGTCTGGACACACAGTATTGTATTCTGTTATCTGTGCCACAGATGTTTCTGTTGTTGGTATAAAACATCTGTGGTCTGGCAGGCATTCTAGGTTCAAGGGTATTGCTTAAATAATAATGCTTTAAAATGTGTATGCTGATTGTATCTGTCTGTTTAGCTGCTAGATAAACAAGAATAGTGTGAGTTCATTCATTTCTTTGGCAAATATTTATTCAGTTCCTCCTTTGAAGTAGGCCCTCTCCTAGCCCTTGAGATTACAGCTCTGTGTAAACAGAACAGACAAGGCTTGGCTCTGGTGGCATTTACCTTTTAGTGAGGAAGCCATACAATAAGTATGATTATCATGGAAGTAGATATTTGTAATATAATGCTAGATAGGGGCAAGTGCTTTTTAAAAAGGCTGAAAGAGGGAGTAAGAAGTGATAATTTCTATTTTAGAAAGAGTTGTCTGAGCAGGCCTTTCTAAATAGACATTTTAGTGGAGAGACCTGAATGGAGTGAAGGCACTAGCCTTGCAGCTGTCTGAGGAATAGCCTTCCAGACAGAGGGATCAGCAAATGCAGAAGCTCTGAGAAAGGAGTGCACTTGGCCTGTTCAAGGGATAGCAAGGAGGCAGGTGTGTCTGGAGCTATGTGAACTGGGGTAGGATGGTAGGAAATGATGTTGGAGAAGTAGCCAGGGGTAGATCATGTAGAACCTTCAGATTTCATTCTGTTGTAAAATAAAGCCTTTGAGTGGTTTCTAGAGGGGAATAAACTGATGCGACTTAAATGCAAAGGTTTCCTCAATGCTATGTAGAGAACAGACTCTAGAAGTACAAGAAAAGAAGCAGGAAGATCAGTTAGGAGGCAGTGGTTATAGACCTCCTCGTGAGAGGTGATGGTTAGTTAGTGATGGAGGTGGAGAGAAGCAGTCAGATTTGAGATAGATAGATAGATAGATTTATTTATTTATTTAGAGACAAAGTCTTGCTCTGTTGCCTGGGCTAGAGTGCAGTGGCATCATCATAGCTCACTGCAACCTCAAACTCCTGGGCTCAAGAGATTTTCCTGCCTCAGCCTTCCAAATAGCTGGGGCTACAGGCATGTGCCACCATGCCTGGCTAATTTTTTTTTTTTTTTGCCTGTAGAGATGGAATCTGACTCTTGCTCAGGATGGTCTTGAGCTCCTGGCCTCAATCCTCATGCCTTAGCCTCCCAGAGCGCTAGGATTACAGGTGTGAGCCACCATGCCTGGCCCAAGATTTATTTTGAAGGTAGAATCAACAAGAAATGAGTGCAGTGGCTCATGCCTATAATCTACTCACTTTTCTGGGGGCCGAGGTGGGAGGATCGCTTGAGGCCAGGAATTCGAGACCAGCCTGGGCAACATTGTCAGACTCCATCTCTAAAAAAAAATACAAAACTTTTTTTAATAAGGCAGACATGATAGTACACACCTGTAGTCCTAGCTACTTGGAAGGCTCGATGGGAGGATTGCTTGAGCCTAGGAGTTTGAGGTGATAGTGAGTTGTGTTTGGGATGATGCATTCCAACCTGGGTGACAGAGCAAGATGCTGTCTCTAAAAAAAGCAAAAATGAAAAATAAATAGGCCGGGCACGGTGGCTCATGCCTGTAATCCTAGCTCTCTGGGAGGCCGAGGCGGGCGGATTGTTTTGAGATCAGGAGTTTGAAACCAGCCTGAGCAAGAGCGAGACCCCGTCTCTACTAAAAATAGAAAGAAATTAATTGGACAGCTAAAAATATATAGAAAAAAAAATTAGCCGGGCATGGTGGCGCATGCCTGTAGTCCCAGCTATTCGGGAGGCTGAGGCAGGAGGATTGCTTGAGCCCAGGAGTTTGAGGTTGCTGTGAGCTACGCTGACACCACGGCACTCACTCTAGCCTGGGCAAAAGAATGAGACTCTGTCTCAAAAATAAATAAATAACTAAATAAATAAATGGATAGATAGATAGATAGATAGATAGGCAGGCCAGGTGCGGTGGCTCACGCTGGTAATCCTAGCACTCTGGGAGGCTGAGGCGGGCGGATTGTTTGAGCTCAGGAGTTCGAGACCAGCCTGAGCAAGAGCAAGCCCCCGTCTCTGCTAAAAAATAGAAACAAATTGGCCGGGCGCAGTGGCTCACGCCTGTAATCCTAACTCTCTGGGAGGCAGAGGCAGGCGGATTGTTTGAGCTCAGGAGTTCGAAACCAGTCTGAGCAAGAGCGAGACCCCGTCTCTACTAAAAATAGAAAGAAATTAATTGGACAACTAAAAATATATAGGAAAAAAAACTAGCCGGGCATGGTGGCACATGCCTGTAGTCCCAGCTACTCGGGAGGCTGAGGCAGGAGGATCGCTTGAGCCCAGGAGTTTGAGGTTGCTGTGAGCTACGCTGACACCACGGCACTCACTCTAGCCTGGGCAAAAGAATGAGACTCTGTCTCAAAAATAAATAAATAACTAAATAAATAAATGGATAGATAGATAGATAGATAGATAGGCAGGCCAGGTGCGGTGGCTCACGCTGGTAATCCTAGCACTCTGGGAGGCTGAGGCGGGCGGATTGTTTGAGCTCAGGAGTTCGAAACCAGCCTGAGCAAGAGCGAGACCCCGTCTCTACTAAAAATAGAAAGAAATAGCCGGGCATGGTGGCGCATGCCTGTAGTCCCAGCTACTCGGGAGGCTGAGGCAGGAGGATCGCTTGAGCCCAGGAGTTTGAGGTTGCTGTGAGCTAGGCTGACGCCACGGCACTCTAGCCCAGGCAACAGAGTGAGACTCTGTCTCTAAATAAATAAATAAATAGATAGATAGATAGATAGATAGATAGACAGACACCGAACTTGAAGGATATACACAGTTTTTACAGTGGCTATCTCTGAGCAGTGGCCTTAAAACTAAAGTATTTTTTTGTTTGTTTTGCTTATCTATATTCATCAATTTTCTGTACTGAACCTGCAAAGTTCTGCAATAAAAAATATACAGATTATTTTAAAATGAGAGTTAACAGTAGTACTCAGTGTAACCTAATTCTTAATGTGTTCTCTACCCTCCCCTTTTTTTTCCTTCTCCTCCTACCCCTTTTGATTTTAGAAAACAATTTAAGTTTCAGATGTCTTGAAGGATTGAAAAGAAAAAAAAAGAAAATAATTTAAGTGACACAAACTTTTAAATTTTGTCTTTTTATTCTTAGTGATCAGCCTTTGTACTTTTTCCACGTTTGAAGATGGTGAAGCTGGATATTCATACTCTGGCTCATCACCTGAAGCAGGAACGCTTGTATGTAAACTCTGAGAAGCAGCTCATTCAGAGGCTCAATGCAGATGTACTTAAGACAGCTGAGAAGTTGTATCGTACAGCATGGATTGCAAAGCAGCAGAGAATAAATTTGGATCGGCTTATCATAACTAGGTAAAGAAAAGATTTTCAGATCTTAAATTTTGTGAACCACTATGATTCTGTGCTAACTGTAAATAAACAAATCTATTTCCAACACCATGCATGGTGTAAGATAGTTTAAATCAGCATTAAGGTGAATCTTTGCTTATAATGCATATATAATTTATTTTGTTTATTAATTAACTTAGGCACTAATATGGAAAATTATAACTTAAGGATTAATATTTTATACCACACCAATTAGTTTTATGTTTTTGTATATATAAAATTTTATTGTTATGGAGAGTAAATTATCCTGTGTTCTGTTTCCTCCTAATATTATTTAATGTATACATTTCCATGTTATTGTATAGCTACATTTCAGGTTTAGAAACCACGTTTTATTTTGTTAATACTTCATTGTTCTGTTGTTCTGAGAGGAACAATTTTTAGCTGTAAGAATAGTGGTGCTAAGGAATAAATAATGTTGAGAAAAGAGGCCAGACACAAAAGAATACATATACTATATGGTTCTATCTGTAAGAAATTCAAAAAGAGGCAGGGCTGATCTTTGGTGATAGAAATCAGAGTAATGGTTACTTCTGGGGCTTTGGAGGGTAGGATTGAGTGGGAAAGGGCATTCGGAAACATTCATTTGGGGTGGTAAAAATGTCCCACATCTTCATCTGAGGGGTAGTTACATGGGTCCAGAGCTGTGTAAAAAATGATCAAACTGAACACTTGAGATTTGTACACTTTGCCATATTTTACCTCAATAAAAGTAGGTTGAACAAAAAAGAATAGGGCTGCTGTGAACATTGTTGTAGTTTTTTTCTGCCATCTTTTGGGCTTATGTTATTTTATTTTATTTTTAGTTCTTTTTGAAACAGTCTTCCTCTGTCGCCTGGCCTAGAGTGCAGTGGCATCATCATAGCTCACTGCAACCTCAAATTCCTGGACTCAAATGATCCTCCTGCCTCAGCCTCCCAAGTAGCTGGTACTACAGGCCTCTGCCACCAGGCCCGGCTAATTTTTTCTATTTTTAGTAGAGATGGGGTCTTGCCTGTTGCTCAGGCTGATCTCAGACTCCTGAGATCAAGCAGTCCTCCTACCTCAGCCTCCCAGAGAACTAGGTTTATCAGCGTGAGCCACCACCCAGCCTTTTGGGGCTTATTTTATTAGAATTTGTTTCCAGAAGTAGAAATCCTGGTTGAAGGGTGTTATTCTACATCTTGTTACACACCGGCATGTTGCTGTTATGAAAGGTTCAACAATATACCTGATATGAACTTAGTTTTGATTATTTTTTAGTACTGAATATTTGTAAACTTTCTTGTGTCCATAAATAAGCAGCTTAACTGTAGCTAATTTTTAATTTAATCGTAAGAGTGCAGCTCTGGGCAATAGCTGCTAAGACCTACAAATTGACACTTTTTATTGAACCTGATTTAATATTAAGAAATTGTCCTCCTTTGTATCCTTTATCTTTGTCTTCCTTTACTCATTCGGATATTGCTAGTCTAAAAGGCTTTAGCATTGTAGAGTAGAGTGATGTCATTGTTAGGACTAAATCAACTCACATTCCATGTTTCAATATAGTGTATGTGCTATATTATTATTAATGTTATTTTGCTTGTTTGCTCATTTTTTTAGTGCTGAAGCTTCCCCTGCTGAATGTTGCCAACATGCCAAGATTTTGGAAGATACACAGTTTGTTGATGGATATAAACAGTTGGGATTTCAGGAGACTGCTTATGGAGAATTCTTGAGTCGATTAAGGGAAAATCCTCGTCTAATTGCCTCTTCTTTGGTTGCTGGAGAGAAACTTAATCAGGAGAACACACAAAGTGTTATTTATACAGTTTTTACCTCCCTATATGGCAACTGCATTATGCAAGAAGATGAAAGCTACCTCCTTCAGGTTTTGCGATACTTGATTGAATTTGAACTTAAGGAAAGTGACAACCCCAGGCGACTTTTGAGGAGAGGAACTTGTGCCTTCAGTATCTTATTTAAACTTTTTTCTGAAGGACTGTTTTCTGCCAAACTTTTCCTCACAGCTACTTTACATGAGCCAATCATGCAACTGCTTGTTGAAGATGAAGATCACTTGGAAACAGATCCAAACAAGCTAATTGAGAGGTTTTCCCCATCTCAACAGGAAAAACTCTTTGGGGAGAAGGGCTCAGATAGATTTAGGCAAAAGGTTCAAGAGATGGTAGAGTCCAATGAAGCCAAGCTAGTGGCTTTGGTGAACAAATTTATTGGTTATCTCAAGCAGAACACATATTGCTTTCCACATAGTTTGAGGTGGATTGTGTCGCAGATGTACAAAACCCTCTCCTGTGTAGATAGACTGGAAGTTGGGGAGGTCAGGGCAATGTGTACTGATCTCCTGTTGGCCTGCTTCATTTGTCCTGCAGTGGTCAATCCAGAACAGTATGGAATAATTTCTGATGCTCCTATTAATGAAGTGGCACGATTTAATTTGATGCAGGTATGTTTTGCTATTATTATTAATGTGACATTCACTTTAAAAATCAGTTGATTGGGCTCTTGAGGTGGGAACAAAAAATACGATGACAGTATTTGTATATTCTTACCATTCTTTTTTTTTTTTTTCTTTTTCTCACATTTATGGCTTTGACTCAATCTTACCATTCTTTTTTCTCAAACTGTCCTAAATATTTGCTGCTTATGAAATAAAAGCATTCATATTGGGATTTTAAAATATTGTAGCCATAAAACATTTTCTGTTAGTTTTTACATGGAATTCTCACACATTTGAATGTATAGTTGATTAGATTGTCTAGAACAAGTCCACCATCCCATTTCTATAATTTCAAAATCCAGAATGATTGAAAACTGAGAGTGTCTTCTATATGTCATTTGGTAGCAAAACCTAAGCTTAACTAACATGAAACTATTTATTCATTGTTATTCTATTTAGTGTTAGTGAATACTCATGTTTTGTTCCAGAAATGTTAATACACCACCCTATGTACTAGACATGTATATATGGACTAAATTACCTTAATTACTTAATATTAACTTGAAGTAGTTAGTGAGTCAGCTTTTACAATTAATTTAAAAATTTCTAAACACATGAAAAGTACAATATCAGAAACAAATGTACTTTTATTTCCTAATCTTAATCATATGTGTTAAAGAGAAATCAAAGTAAATTTTTCTACCTCCTCTCTATAATTCTTAACCTAAAAATAATAAAAGGTGACGTAAACAAGATACACGTTTTATCAGGCACCCACTTTTGTATGCCCAGTCAAGTGGTGTGAATATGAATGTGAAACAGACTTTTAGGATAGAATATAAGTGCTTTCACAGAGAGGAATTTGTGAGTCTCTATAGCCCATGTCTCCCCACCACTGCTTTGGGTTGCAGGTTGGCCGCCTTTTGCAGCAGTTAGCAATGACTGGATCTGAAGAGGGAGATCCTCGAACGAAGAACAGCCTTGGAAAATTTGACAAAGTAAGAATGAATATTATGTGAAATACTGTTTAGAGAAAATTCTGCCAAAGTATTAGTGAACATAACTATTGGCTATAAATCTTGTCCTTAGATGATGATTAAATTCGGTGTTCTTTTAATTAGTTACAGTGTTGGATCAGGAGAATTTAAAGAAAGATGTCACTAAAGATTATTAACTCTCACACAAGTATTAAGGAGATGCTGTTATAATGAGAATCAAAGAGCTATTAAGATTTTTATTCTGTTTTTGAGACAGTTTTGCCCTGTTACCCTGAGTGGAGTGCAGTGGCATCATCACAGCTCACTGGAACCTCAAACTCCTGGGCTCAAGTGATCTTCTTGCCTCAGCCTCCTGAGTAGCTGGGACTATAGGCACGCACCAAGACTCCTGGCTAGACTCCTGGCTAATTTTGGCTATTTTTTCTATTTTTAGTAGAGGTGGGGTCTCACTCTTGCTCAGGCTGGTCTCGAACTCCTGAGATCAAGCAGTCTTCTTGCCTCTACATCCCAGAGTGCTAGGATTACAGTGCTGAGTCACCTCACCTGGCCAAGATTATTTTATTTTAAAAAGTTTTGCTTTTAAAAGATTGTCACTAAATCACATCCGTAGATATATGAATCAGCAATAATTGTGTAATTTTAAGTGTATTCCGTAAGCTAACATTTATGATATTGTTCAGTTAATTTAGTTAAGTAAAATTTTAGTCAGTCATATTTTGAGTGGGCTTTACATTCAATCTGGTTTAAAATTCAAGGATTATACAGTGAAATTTCCCTTCCACCTCTCATCTCTAGCCTTTATTTCCTCCCCAAAAGGTTCTTGATGTTATGTCTTTTGTGTCTCCTTCTAGAGGTCTTGTATGTACATAAGAAATTCCTAAATGTACTGTGTTCTCCCACCCTCCCCACCCCTCCCTTCTCAGAATGGGAGCATAGTGTGTATACTATTCTGTGTCATGTTTGTTTTGCTTTCCAGAATATCTTGGAGATGATGCTATATCATTACATAGTTTACTTTTTAACAATGATAAAATATAATTTTTGAGACATTAAATTTTTTGTGTGCTTGTTCACCTTAATCAGAATTTTGTTCTGGTATTTTAAAGGGTAAGTATTTCACTGTGATCTTTTCCTGTTTTAACAGAGCTGTGTTGCTGCTTTCCTTGATGTTGTGATTGGGGGCCGTGCAGTGGAGACCCCTCCAATGTCTTCTGTTAATCTTCTGGAAGGGTTGAGCAGAACTGTGGTTTATATAACCTACAGTCAGCTTATTACTCTGGTAATACCTTTATTGTTTAATAGGATTTTCTCAAAAGCCTTGTAGCTAAGCATAAGCAGAGACATAGATGAGTACATTGTGTGAGAAATATGTATTGTGTTTGAAATATTGATTTTACTAGCTAATGTCCTGTATTTTTGTCAGGTGAATTTTATGAAGAGTGTGATGTCTGGAGATCAACTGAGAGAAGATAGAATGGCTCTTGACAATTTATTGGCAAACCTACCCCAGGCCAAGCCAGGAAAAAGTAGCAGTTTAGAAATGACTCCCTACAATACTCCTCAGCTATCTCCAGCAACCACTCCAGCAAATAAAAAGAATCGATTACCTATAGGTAAAGAGAATTTCTCATATTGGAGCTTTCCCTTAAATTTAACATTTCTTTATTAACCTTTGTTATTGCTCAGGGTTTTGGAATATAGTTTTAAATACCATGGAAAAGTGTTTCTTTTCATGTTTACTCATGGAATTTCAATTTCTAAAAATCATACCTGGTTAGTTAAGGTTTATCAGTAGGTTTTAGCTTTATCTAGACATGCTTTTCATAAGTAATTGAAATCATGCCATTCACAGTATACTTTGTTTAAATTTTTGTGTCTTGGCTGGGTGTGGTGGCTTACGCTTGTAATCCCAGCACTTTGGAAGACCAGGGTGGGAAGGTCGCCAGAGGCCAGCTGTTTGAGACCAGCCCGAGCAACCTAGGAGACCCTGTCTCCTACCAAGAAAAAAAAAAGATTGGGTTGGTGGCGCATGCCTGTAGTCCTGCAATTCAGGACGCTGAGGCGGGAGGATCTCTTGAACCCAGAAATTCGAAGTTATAGTGAGCTGTGATTGTGCCACTGCACTCTAGTCTGGGTGACAGAGTGAGACCCCGTCTCTAAAAAAAAAATTTAGTGTCTTGGGAAAATTTTGAAAATGTTGTAATCATTTTTTGAGTTATGTAGCCCTCTCCTTTCTACAAAGTTTTAAATAATATAATAATATTATTTTAGAAGTTTCCATCAATGAAGTGAAAAATAATTACTATTTTTTGTTATTTTTATTAATAATGTCTTTTGTCAATTGAATTAAGATATCTCAATGTTGTTATAAAGTAGAAGTTTCATTTATTTTGTTAAATTTATTCATTTATTTAAGAATTATGTTTAATCAAGCTTTATTCACTTAGTAAATGTTTATTATCCATATATCTACCAAAAAATTAATTGAGCACGTACTGTGTACCAGACATTGGGTAAACACTTTATAAATGTTGTTTCATTTCATCCACACAAAAATCCTGTGAGAGTTGGTATAATCACCATCTTGCACATGAAGTACTATGTTACAAAGAGCATTAGGACATGCCCTTACTCTCAAGTCTGCTGCTGATAGTTTAGTTGGGGCAAACAAGAAAAGACCAGTACCTGTCAGCATACTAAGTGTTTGGATGGAGATGAGACCCCCCAGGGAGTCAGGGCACACCTAGTTTAGGCACTTGATAGTGCTATCAGAAGATCTTGTAGTGAAGCCTGTACTTTCTCTTCAAGCATGAATGGGAGTTAGACAAAGTAAACAAGACAGGTCTACAGTGTTTAAGCCAGGGGAGCAGCAGTATTTTAGTGCCTGCCTAATTATAATGAGGATCTCAGCAACACTTAGCAATGAATAGTTTTTTGTTTTGTTTTTTTTTTAATAGAGATAGAGTCTCACTCTGTCACCCGGGCTGGAGTTGCAGTGGCATGATCATAGCTCAGTGCAACCTCAAACGCCTGGGGCTCAGGTGATCCTCCTGCCTCAGCCTCTGAAATAGCTGGGATTAAAGGCATGTGCCACCATGCCTGGCTAATTTTTAAAAATATTTTTGTAGAAACAGGCTGGGCGCGGTGGCTCACGCCTGTAATCCTAGCTCTCTGGGAGGCCGAGGCGGGCGGATTGTTTGAGCTCAGGAGTTCGAGACCACCCTGAGCAAGAGCGAGACCTGGTCTCTACTAAAATTAGAAAGAAATTAATTGGACAACTAAAAATATATAGAAAAAATTAGCCGGGCATGGTGGCTCATGCCTGTAGTCCCAGCTACTCGGGAGGCTGAGGCAGGAGGATCGCTTGAGCCCAGGAGTTTGAGGTTGCCGTGAGCTAGGATGACGCCACGGCACTCTAGCCCGGGCAACACAGTGAGACTCTGTCTCCAAAAAAAAAAAAAAAATATTTTTGTAGAAACAGGGGTCTGTTGGTCAGGCTGGTCTCGAACTCCTGGCCTCAAGCCATCGTCCCCTCTTGGCTTCGAAAAGTGTTGGGATTATAGGTGTGAGCCACCGCACCTGGTTCTGCCTTACATTTAACATAGTACGGAATTGTACTACCAACAGGAATATGGCATCATGTTCTTCAAGTCTGTGGCTTTCTTCATCATCCCAAAATGTCAGTTTTCATAATTAAAAATAGAAAAAATAGAAGTGTTATACTTAATGGTTTTTAATATTGTGGGCTATTTGTACTCTGTTAACATGAAGAAATAAATGATTTTTGGTAAATCGGAGATTTTTCCCCCCTCATTGACTGCTGTGAATTAGTTTTTTAATTTCACATCATCAGAAAGTATCATTCAATATGGATCTGATGGAAAATAAATTACAATTGTTTGCCCATTATTATTTTTTGTGTAGTCATGTAATCTGGTCATTGCATTTATTTCATATTTTTAAAAAATGTGTCCATGTTCAAAGGGTTGATTTTCTTTCTATTTAATGCTTTCGCAACATAGGACAACAGTTAGTAGCCATCACTGCCTGGGATTCCTCATCTACCAATCTTACTGCTCATATTATACTAGTAACCCTGTTTGTTGGGTAATAGGCTGTTCTTCCTCTGCTCATATGATTTTATTTAAGAAATAGTTTATAAAAATGTGCTTCATGTGCATGTTGCTTTTGCTTTATGTAAATTGCTACATGAAATTTGATTACTTGCATTTTTATAAATTACAGTTATAAAGTTTGTTACTTAAGATTCATAGCCCTGCTCATGAAATTGAATTTAAGTTCACAATTCAGTAGAGTAATGAGGGTTGGCAAATAAAGATGTGAGTGAACCTGTTTTAGACTTTTGGAAATTGGTGTGTGCTCTGAATTTTCAGACTAAAACTGTTTAATGAACAGACCTATAGCGTTGTGAGGAAAGGTGATTATTTATCTTTCTGCCTCTTTCTGTCAAGTAGGTTAGCTTTCACTGAAAGTGAAATTGAAAGACTTTTGTTACTATAGAATGTTTTTGCTTTATGTCTGTATTTTTGATTATTTTACACTGAAGAGAATTTCTATTTAGTATTCTGGTTGTATTGTTTTATTGCCCTCTGAAAGAAAATGGAAAATATAAAACTGATAGAGAAATTGTCACAAACTGTCTAAATCTTTCAGTGTCCAAAAGTTTTTGAAATATTTATAAGATAAATTATTTTAGAAAAAAGTATTACTTTTTTACTTTTAGACAGAGGTAAAAAACCAAGAATAACTGAAACCTTTGTTACTTTAAATTGTTTCCATAAAGCAGATAGGACCTTGTATTCAAACATAAGGAGATCTTCTCTCCTACATCTTTAGAAAGAGGTTAATAGATTTCTGGGGAGAAAAATGTGCTTTGAAAAACTGATTCTTGTTTTGTCAAAGGTTGCCTAATTAAATTATATTACTTTAAATGGCTATGAAGTTTCCATTTGAAATTTTCTAATGCTTATTAAGTTCAATTATTAGTATGGGAGAACTGTGTCAGTTAATTCATTTTACAGAAAAAATGGTACAGATATCTTTAAAAAATAAGAAATATGGTAACACTTTTCTTGTCACCCAAGTCTGAAATTGATTGAGACATGTTTGCCATTCCGCATGTGTGATCATACCTGGACTTAAATCACTGTCCTGGTTATCAGTTTGGAGGATAAGCTGTATTAGTCATCAGTAGAGTAACTGGGAGGATCTAGTTTTTGGTTTTGTTTTGTTTTTTTCTTATTTATATTTTCACCACTCTTTTTTTTGTGCATGCGCAAATGTTCTGCACTATTAGAAAATATAGTTTCATATTTAGTGTGCTATTTTCTTAATTTTGTCTTCCTCTAAATTATTTTATTTGAAATTTTTTATTAGCCACTCGGAGCAGAAGCCGCACCAATATGCTAATGGACCTACATATGGACCATGAAGGATCATCTCAAGAAACCATCCCAGAGGTGCAACCAGAAGAGGTGCTGGTCATTTCCTTAGGGACAGGTCCCCAGCTTACTCCAGGGATGATGTCAGAAAATGAGGTATGAACGTACATGGTCACTTGCTTCTATAAATCAGTATTGATGTCTTAGTCCATTTTGGCTGCTATAATAAAACATCAAAGGCTGGTTGTCTTATCACAATAGAAATTTACTTCTCACAATTCAGAAGGCTGAGAAGTCCAAGTTCAAGGCAGATATAGTGTCTACTGAGATCCATTTCTTGGTTCATAGATGGTGCCTTCTTGCTGTGTCCTTGGGCCTATTTTATAAGGGCACTAATTCCATTCAGGAGGACTCTGCCCTCATGACCTAATCACCTCCACAAAGGCCTTATCTCCACATACCATCATCACCTTGAGGATTAGGATTTCAACATACAAATTTGAGGGGAGTACAAACATTCAGACCATACATAGCAGTGAATTTAATGCATATTTTTCATTATCTTCAATAGGCCTACCATGACATGGGCCTTACACCATCACATGTTAAGCGTTTGATGAGCAGTTGTGAAGGCCCTTCACGTTAATCCATCTGTGGCACTGAAGTTGGTGAATAGGTCCAAACAAAAGGAATTTTCCTAGTAGTAGTAGAAGAAAGAGGAAGCCAGGAAATTGTGGTGTGGAAATTGAAGAAACTTTTCTAGTGACTTATAGGATATGTTTAATGCTTGTTTTCTTTCTTGTGGCATACTGGTGGTATTCCTGCTTTAATGAGCCCAAATTCTTAATATACCATCTGTTCTTTGGCTGGTCAGGAAAAATTGGAAGAGAACTGAAAAGAAAACTAAGAAAATAAAATGTTTTAAAGAAATGGGATTGGAGGTATGGGAATCAATTTTAAGATAGTTACAACAAAAGAGCTTGGCTTAGAGGCAAATTGGGAAGAAGAAGAAATCTTGACTCTGTTCTCACAGGGCTGGGTGCAGTGGCTCACACCTGTGATCTCAGTACTTTGGGATGCTGAGGCAGAAGGATTGCTTGAGGCCAGGAGTTCAAGACCGGCCTATGCAATATAGCGAGACCCTGTCTCTACAAAAAAATAAGAAAAATTAGCTGGATGTGGTGGCATGTGCTTGCAGTCCCAGCTACTCAGGCAGGAGGATCACTTGAGCCCAGGAATTTGAGGCTATACTGAGCTATGGTCACACCACTACACCCCAGCCTGGGCAACAGAGCAAGACCCTGTCTCTAAAAAAATACACTCCAGGAGCTAAGGAAACCATGGGCAAAGAACTACAGGAAAGCAAAAGAATGTTGTCTCATTAAATAGAGGATGTCAGTAAAGTGGTAGAAATTACAAAAAGAAACCATATAGAAATCCTGACATTGAAAAGTACAATAACTAGAATGAAAAATACACAAGAAGTGTTCAACAGCAGATTTGAGCAGGCAGAAGAATCGGCGAACTTGAAAATGGATTAATTGAAAATATCTGGTCTGAGGAGCATAAAGATTACAGGAGACAAAGAAGACATTATATGTTGATAAATGGTCAATCCGTCAAGATGATACAGCAATTATAAACATATACACACCTAACAATAGCCCCAAAATATATTAAGCAAAAGCTGACAGAATTGAAGGGAGAAATAGATAGTTGTACAATAATAGTTGGACAGTTCAATACCCCACTTTCAGTAATGGATACAACAACCAGACAATAAGATCAACAAGGAAATAGAGGACCTGAACAATACTGTAAGTCAATTAGACCTAACACACATATATAGAACACTTCATCCAACTACAGCACAATACACATTCTTGTTACTGCATGTGAAACATTCTCCTGGATAGACCATATATTAGGCTATACAAGTCTCAATAAATTTAAAAAGATTGAAATCATACAAAATATCATCTTTGACCACAATGAAATAGACCTAAAAATCAACTAACAGAAGGAAATTGGACGATTCACAAATATGTGGAAACTAAACAACACATCTTAACCAATGGACCAAGAAGAAATCAAGGGAACTTAGAAAATACTTTGATTTGAAGAGGAATGAAAACGAAGACACAACATACTAAACTTTTTTTTTTTTTTTTTTTGAGACAGAGTCTCGCTCTGTTGCCCGGGCTAGAGTGAGTACGTCAGCCTAGCTCACAGCAACCTCAAACTGCTAGGCTCAAGTAATCCTCCCACCTCAGCCTCCCGAGTAGCTGGGACTACAGGCACTTGCCACCATGCCTGGCTAATTTTTTTTTTGTTGTTTCTATTTTTAGTTGCCCGGCTGATTTTTTCCATTTTCAGTAAAGATGGGGTCTTGCTCTTGCTCAGGCTGGTCTCAGACTCGTGACCTCAATCCCGCTTTGGCCTCCCAGAGTGCTAGGATTACAGGCGTGAGCCACTTTGCCCAGCCAGTTCTGGGTTCTTAAACTATGCTATGTGACTTCCAACATAGCGCTCAATTCTTCATTAAAGTGGAGATACAAAATTGAATTATGAGGCTTATAAGGAGTAGTGAGAAGTAATTATGTTATTTGGAAATCAACCAGTCCATAGAAAGCATTGTTAAAAGGCCATCACCTCTAAGCTGGAGATGGCTGTGAAGTCATACTTCAGCTTCTGGCATGGACTTTTGTGGCCCTGTATGTGGTGATCGAGTAGAGATTCAAACTAGTTGGATTAAATCCTGGTGCCTGCAAGATATTAATAACATGATTACATCATGTTTTCTTCTGGTTGAATTCATTTATTAACTTCTGAAAAAATATACTGCAAATTCAATAGGTTATGTGCTGTACCAAATGCTTTACGTGCATCTTTTTGTTTAATCCTCAACAATTCCATGGATACATGCTCTTACTATCATTTTATAGATGAAGCAGCTAAGGCTTAGAGAGTTTAAATAACTTATCCAAGATTACATAGCTGACACATGGCAGAACAGGAAGGACTAGCCTGCTGATACCACAGCCCTCTGACTCCTCTACTCCTAATCCCTGCTCATCTGATGTCTGATTGCCTGTTCAATCACTGACACTGGTAGGGTGGTGGAAAGATATAGCTTCAGTTGTTTTAACTGATATACTTTTATTCCACAGGTATTTAAAAGTTTCACAGACATTATAAATGGGATTTTAGTTAAAAATGATAATTTAAGATTAAGAAGGGCTCAAATATACATTTGTTGTGGTTAGTTTTCTTATCAGTATTCTTTCAGTTGATAAACCAAAATTGGCATTTTATTTTTCAGGTCCTAAACATGCAGCTCTCGGATGGAGGACAAGGAGATGTCCCTGTTGATGAAAACAAACTCCACGGTAAACCTGATAAAACCTTGCGCTTTTCCCTCTGCAGTGATAATCTGGAAGGAATATCTGAAGGTGAAGGGTTACTTCATTCAAGGAGTTGTGTGATTCAAGTAATAATTTGTTTTGTGTTCTTTAAAGGAGCCTTATAAATTATAATTATACCATCTGTGCCTCTCACTGAGGAGAGTAATGAAGATTTCCTCTAATGAGCTTGAACAGTTGGCTGTAAAGATCGTTTCTTGAATAAAATTAAGATTATAAGATGCCTTTGGTCATACAGAATGGAGAAGATATAACTCTTCATTCAGACTTAGAATAATAGCATGTTTTGTTTCTCCTGTGTTAATATATACCAAAGCTTATAGAGCTCCTTTAGAAGGATATGACGCATGTCTAAATGGGAAAAATGGACTTACTAGTATTTCAGGATGTTGCGTATACTCTTGGAGTTCTGTATTCCTTTATTCTGGTGCTTACATACACCTTTATGAAGCAGGATACAGTGGAAATAGGAATAAAAAGAAAATTAAAAGCCAAGACTGTGAAGTGAGAATGTCATTCCACATACTAGGACAAATTTTTTAAATGAAGAGTTCTAGTTTACTGACATTTAAAAAGAAACATAACATACAATAACTTCTCCTTTTTATCTAACTTTTCAAAAAATTTCTTAAGTATTATGTATTCGTTTCAGAAAATGGAGGAAATAGAATCGTCTATAATCTCACCATTCTGTTAATAGCAGTTAACATTTTGTTTTATTTATAGCAAAATTAGGTTTATGCTCTTTTGTAACCTCTTTTTGGTTAATAATGTAGCATTAATATTTGCCTTTGTAATTTAACATTCTTTTTTTTTTTTTTTTTTTTGAGGAAGAGGTCCACCCCTCTGGCCCGGCGTGAGTGCCATGGCGTCAGCCTAGCTCACAGCAACCTCACACTCCTGGGCTCAAGCGATCCTCCTGCCTCAGCCTCCCGAGTAGCTGGGACTACAGGCATGCGCCACCATGCCCGGCTAATTTTTTCTATATATTTTTAGTTGGCCGATTAATTTATTTTCTATTTTTAGTAGAGATGGGGTCTCACTCCTGCTCAGGCTGGTCTCGAACTCCTGAGCTCAAACAATCTGCCCGCCTCGGCCTCCCAGAGAGCTAGGATTACAGGCGTGAGCCACCGCGCCCGGCCTGTAATTTAACATTCTTAAACAAGATTTTTAATGGCTCTTTAACTTCAAATGTGAGCATATCATAATTTATTTCAACATTCTTCTATGAATAAACATATAGATTGTTTCCACTTTTCAGACGGTATAAGAAGCTCACAAGAAACAATCTTAGATTAATTTTTGATTGATTTCTTAAATAAATTCCTAGAAGCAGAATTGCTAGCTCAAAGGGCATGTATTTTTTAAGGTATAAATGTAGTATTAAAAGCACTTTAATCAGTCCTTTGTCTCTTATCAAGGCATGAGAAATTGCATGGTGGCTCATGACTGTTTTAAAAAGATTGCTGACAGGATGAACATTTCTCTAGGTCCTTCAAATCGCTCCAATTCAGTGTCCTCTCTAGACCTGGAAGGGGAGTCTGTATCAGAACTTGGAGCAGGACCTTCTGGGAGTAATGGAGTTGAAGCTCTACAGCTCTTAGAACATGAGCAAGGTAAAAATGACATTGAACACAGTTATTTAAGTAGCAAAGAATTTACCTGATTGTAAGATAAGCAATATAGTTGCATATAAGCTGGCTATGTTCAATAAAACAATAAATTTAAGTTCATTGTGTAAGTGACCATTAAACTTGCATTTATTCATAGTTTCTTCAGTTCTTAAAAATGTGTTTAGTTGGTAAGTGGGTTGTTTATGCTTAAATTACATAGAATAATTAATATGAATTACCTTAAATTCTATAATATTTGGTATTTCAATTCTGTAATATTTAAGGGATATAGTGGTAAATACTCAGGGCTGAAGGAACTTAGAATAGGGAGAGAGTGGTATACAAATGATTAAAAGTATCATCAAAGTGCTTTGACAGTTCTGAGTGAGAGATACCATGTGGTTGAAAGTATATGGAAAAGAGGCCTGGCATGGTGGCTCACATCTGTAATCCCAGCACTCTGGGAGGCTGAGGTGGGAGGATTGATTGAGGTCGGGAGTTTGAGACCAGCCTGAGCAAGAGCAGACCCCGTCTCTACAAAAAGTAGAAAACTTAGCTGAGTGTGGTGGCATGCACCTGTAGTCCCAGCTACCCGGGAGGCTGAGGCAGGAGGATCACTTGAGGCCTGGAATTTGAGGTTGCAGTGAGCTATGATGACACCACTGTACTCCACCCTGGCCAACAGAGTGAGACTCTGTTTCAAAAAAAAAAAAAAAAAAGTATGGGGAAAAGCTTATTGGAAGGAAATACTAGCTTTAAAGGCTGGCTGGCATTACCTTGGCAGAAGTTGGAGATAAATCATTCTAAGTGAAGGACAAGTGTAAGCAAATCAGAGAGGTGGGAGTCATAGTATGTGCTCAGGTATCAATTAGGGGAAAAGGATGCAGTAAGGATTGAAAAGTGGGTGGATCCCTATTGTGGAGAGAAGTAAGTCTGTATTTTAGTAGTGAGCCGGAAGCCGTTGAAAGCTTTTGATTAGATGAGGATAAGGGGGTGAGGAGCTTTAGGAAAAGATAAATTTGAGAAAGTTTTTTGGATTTGTTCATTTAAAGGTAATGCCCTCAACTAGGTTTGAGGCAGTGATTCTTAGACTTCAGTGTGCATAAGAATTACCTGGAAACTTTTTAAAAGTTCAGTTTCCCAAGTCTCACTTCTATAAATTTTGCTTTTGTCCATTTTAGAAAGAAAAAGAGTATTGCCGTTGGAGTGTGTATGGCTTGAAAAAAGTAATGCTCTATTTTTATTGATTTGGTTTATTAGTGTATCAATTAAGACTAAATTTGCTTCAAATAACAGTGAAACCTAAAATAATACAGTAGTCCCTTTTTATCCATGTTTTCACCTTCCACAGTTTCAGTTACCCATGGCCCAAAAATATTAAATGGAAAACTCCAGAAATAAGCAATTTGTAAGTTTTAAATGTGCGCCATCCCATCCAGGTCATGAATCATTTCTTTGTTCAGCATATACACACTGTATACACTACTTTCCTATTAGTCACTTAGTAGCCATCATGGTAATCAGATTGAAAAAACATAGAATGTATAGGGTTCGGTATTATTTGCAGTTCAGTCATCCACTGGAAGTCTTGGAATGTATCCCCCTTGGATAAGGGGACACTACTGTATTAGTTTATAACAGAAGTTGAAGTTGAACGAGTATCACCTCTATAATAAGCCTTCTGGGCAATTCTGATACAGGTGCTTGGCAGTCTACATTTTGTGAAATGCAAAGTTAAGAAGTGAATTGAGGGAAATTGGTCTAGGAGGGAGAGAAAACTCTAGAATGCAGAGGGGAGTTACCCAAGTCACGTGAAAAACCTTTTTAGTAGTTAATTATTGCCACAATAATGCCATACAACCACCCGAATACATTAATTTTGATCTCAAGTATATAGGTCAGCATGTTGGTTCTTCTGATTTAGGCGGGGCTCACTCATGCATCTGTGGTCACTGGTGGTTCAGTAGGGAGCTCTGCTAGTCTTAGCTGGAGGTCGCTTGATCACTAGGGAGCTGGCTGGTGTAGCTAGGTCTAGGATGATACTGTATGCTTAGTAATGATAAAATATGTAACTTGAAGTTCAAAGACATAAAAGTTCTTTAAAGTTGATTAAAAATTCATAGCTGTGCTACCATTTTTTTTTTTTTTGAGACAGAGTCTCGCTCTGTTGCCCGGGCTAGTGTGCTGTGGCGTCAGCCTAGCTCTCAGCAACCTCAAACTCCTGGGCTCAAGCGATCCTCCTGCCTCAGCCTCCTGAGTAGCTGGGACTACAGGCATGTGCCACCATGCCCGGCTAATTTTTTCTATATATTTTTAGTTGTCCAGATAATTTGTTTCTATTTTTTGTAGAGGCGGGGTCTCGCTCTTGCTCAGGCTGGTCTCGAACTCCTGAGCTCAAACAATCCGCCCGCCTCGGCCTCCCAGAGTGCTAGGATTACAGGCGTGAGCCACCACGCCTGGCCCTGTGCTACCATTTTTAAAGTGCTTAATTTTGTTTTTGATAGCTACAACGCAAGATAATCTTGATGATAAGCTAAGGAAGTTTGAAATTCGTGACATGATGGGACTAACAGATGATAGAGACATATCAGAAACAGTGAGTGAGACTTGGAGTACAGATGTCTTGGGAAGTGACTTTGACCCTAACATTGATGAAGATCGCTTGCAAGAAATTGCAGGTAACTGCTGTTTAATATCTCTGGAAGATGCTGTTATTCATATCCACTCACCTTTCATGGGAAGGAGCGATAGTGCTCTGACAAACACGTTGTTTGTTAGCACCAACTGGGAAACGGATACCTGTGGGGAACAAGTCACATGGATACATTTTTCTTTACTTAATGTTTTCCCTTTCTACATTAATCCCACCTCCCCCCCTCCAAATGATAGACAGTCCAGTCTTTTGAATTAGCTTCTGGTCAAGGCTTGTTTGCAGGGATAGTATATGTTCTTTGTCTGTTTCTGATGAGTATATTCTCCTTTCGAGACTAAATACCTTACTTGAAGATGAAAATTCTTACAGATTATAGCCATAAAAATTTCAGAATAATATACTGATATTCTCTCAAAAAATGAGTTCACCTCTGGCCAAAGGGTAACCAGTTTTTTTTTTTCGTTTTTTAAATTTCAAATTTATTGAGGTGCAATTTACATGCATTAAAACCCTTTCTTGGATACCATTTTATGAGTTCTGAAAGATTCATACAGCCTTGTAACAACCATCCTTGTTTTCTTTTTAAATCATGGAAAATTTCAAACAAATAATCAAGCGAGAATGGTATCCAGTGTACCCATCAGCTCCAACAGTTAGACACACGTGGCCCGTTTTGTTTCACCTGTCCTCCCACCCACTACCCTCTTCCCTCACCCCATTATGTTTAGGTAAGTTCCAGATATCGCTGTATTTGTAAATATTTCATGATATATCTTTAAAAGATAACTTTTACTGGTAATTTTTTCCAATTTTTTTTCATTCACTGAAGTAGGATTTTTCTTTTATTAGGCTTAATCAAAAGTAGTGTGGAGCATTCTGAACTTGAGTATTATTAACACAGGCATACAATAATATTTAATACTTTGTATTGTTAAGCAGTGTAAATAGATTTCTTAATTGATTTTACATTACTTTGTTCTGTATGCCAAACTAGTATTATTCCTGGCAGTAAGTTGTATTTGAACAATAAACTGAATTTGTAGTTGAATGAGTGCTGTGAAGGAGATTTGTACTTTCCTGCAGATATGTTTTTTAGCTCTGAATATTGTGGCTAATGTGCTAGGAGCAAGCATATTTGGCCAGTATAACTTTCTGTGTTTAAATCTCTCTGAGTGTTTTTAATCTCTGTAGAATTATAAATTTTAGATACTAAGGACACATGTAAAATTTGCTGAAAAACCAGGGTAAAAACTAGTTGAAATGACTTGATCTAATGATGTGTATTTTCTCTATGGGGAGTCAAAGGTGGACAGGAGGAAACTGATAAAAAGGAGGTTGTGTCATTGTCAAGTGGGAACTTCGTGTTTTAGTGCTATGCTTGATTAAAATTTTTCTTACCTTGACTTCTTTCTTGTGGGTGGAGAGGTTTTGTTAGCTTAGTGTTTGGCTTTTCTCCACTGTGACTGTATTTTCCATCAGGATCTTTGTTAACCCTTTGCTTCCCACTGGTTATACAGGTGCAGCAGCAGAGAACATGTTAGGCAGTTTGCTGTGCCTCCCAGGTTCGGGATCAGTGCTGCTTGAGCCCTGCACTGGTTCTACAATATCGGAGACAACAAGCGAAGCTTGGAGTGTAGAGGTGTTGCCAAGTGACTCAGGTTAGTATGCTATCATTATTTGTTTTTTCATTTACACAGGAGTTTTAAATATAAGGTATCCTAATTTCTATATTATGTGTATTTTGCCAAATAGACATTTGAGAAGTTTGAGGTAATCACATTGGTAAGAATTTCAAATGGAAAATTAGTGTAGGGCGTATTCTGTCCATTAAGAAAAAATGGCAATGTTGGATAGCATAGGTTAAGATGACAGGTGCTTTCTAACTCTGTGCTCAATTATTTTGGAAGCAATTATCAATATTTGTAACTTATCAGGGTTCTGTGTGGGTCATTGGGTTCAGTATTTTCTACTATTAATAACTCATTACAGGATGAGAGTAGCAACACAGATCAAACCCTGAGTGGTTGACAGCTTGGTAAGCATATTTAGATTTATCACAAGGAAAAACATGACCCTTTAAAAGATATATAATGTGTTTTTGAAATACATTGAAATTGAGGCTCTGTAGTCCTGAGGATACTTTTGTGCAGGCTTATTATAAATGTATTAATACATAAATAAAGTGTTTTGTATATACTCTATTTGTTTTTCTCATTATGAAGACATGTCTTTGCCTTCAACTAAATGTCAACTACCAGAATACAAATATAAGTAACTATATCTGCATTACTTTCTATCTGATATATTTGGCTCAAGACTAATTAAGTAATCCTGATATGTATTTTATTATGTTAAAGCATTCAGACATGCTAGCCTAGAGACAAGCTATTCTCTCTTGTTAAGTTTACATGTTAACAAACAGCATACTCTATGAGGTTAGTGATCTAGAAACAGAGTTTTCATCTGACAGTGAACTGGCCTATGTTGGGATGAAAATCACAGTCTTGACTACTTCATCTAACTTTGCTAACTGGCCCAGACTTAGAAATCTGTTTACACTGATTTCCTTTATGGCCCTGGTAGGTTTGTTTCTCTGAGTCACAAAAGCTAAAATTATGGTGTGCTAACAGAATCACTAATATAATACCCCTTGTCTTCTATTCAGAGGCCCCAGACCTAAAGCAGGAGGAACGCCTGCAAGAATTGGAGAGCTGTTCTGGACTGGGTAGCACATCTGATGATACAGATGTCAGGGAGGTCAGTTCCCGCCCCAGCACACCAGGCCTCAGTGTTGTGTCGGGTATGTCTGTCTTGTTTTAAGGAATAGGGATTTGAAAGTGTCCCATCCACCCTCATTTATGAAGTTGATACAAAGATATGTTTTATTTAAGAGATGAGTGATTTCCAGGAAAGAAAATTATTTCCGTGGCACTTTAAATCTTTGAAAATGTAATGTATGGCTTTATAGAGCCTGTTGAAGTAATAGGCAAACAGTCCCTCTACAATTCTTTCTAGTCTTAGTAACCTCTGCTGCTTTATTCAGATACCACATAATAATTCTGACTATGTTGTATAAAGCAAGGTAAGTATATTTAAGCAATAGTGTGGTAAAGAATATAATACTAAACAATTCATGTGTATAGAAGTGGGACACAAACAATTTGTTACTGTTTTCCAAATTTCATATACTTTTTGTGTGGTTATTTTGTTCTTCTTGCTGTTTATTTTTTACCGTTTTTTTTAAAGGCATAAGTGCAACCTCTGAGGATATTCCCAATAAGATCGAAGACCTGAGATCTGAGTGCAGCTCTGATTTTGGGGGTAAAGATTCTGTCACTAGTCCAGACATGGATGAAATAACTCATGGTAAGAAAGGGAATTGAGAATGAATTAAAAATAATCACGTTCGTAGTTGAAACTGGCATTTTTACCCATTGCTTTTGATGATATCAATTCGTATAGCACTTTGTGGCATAATTTATCAATGCATTTTTAAGGCCTTAAATGTTCGCATTCTAAATTTGGTCCAGTTAGTTCCACTTCTAGAAATCAGTCATAAGGAAATAATTCCATGTATAGAGAAAAGTCTTATGCACAGAGATGTTCTTTATTAACATTTATGTTGGCAGAAAATTGGAAACAGTTAAAATTGGAAAGAGTTAAAAAATGGAATGGCTAAGTAAATTTTGATGTAATTTATTAGAATTTATGTAGCTATTTTTTAAATGCTTTAAAGACTATGAAATAACTTGGAGAAATAGCTAGAACATAGTATTACATGGAAAATTTATTTGATAGAATTTTACATGCAGGATAAAACATTAAAAAACTTATGCATTGAGAAAGAACTGGAAAGAAATACCAAAATGCCAGCAGTGGTTTTACATGTTGGGCAATGGGTTTTGAGGTATCTTTTCTTTTTTACAACTTTTTTTTATTGTTGTTCTAAACCAGGGGTTGTTAACCTCAACACTATTGACAGTTTGGGCTGGCTAATTCTTTGATGTGGGAGTCTGTCCTGTGCATTATAGAATGTTTAGTGGTATCCCTGGCCTCTACCCGTAGCATATACTCACCTACTGGGCTTGTGACAACCAAAAATGTTCCAGACATTGCCAGATGATCCTTTGGGGGGCCAAACAGCTGCCAATTGAGAACCACTGTTCTAAACCAACAGTCTCAAAGCGTGGTCTCCATGGACCACTGACAGTCCTTAACAGCCTTTTGGCCGGTGTGGGGGTGGTAGTGGTGGAACATGAGGTCAAAACTATTTTCATAATAAAGGTTGTTGTCCACTTTCATTGACATTTGTACTGATGATGCACCAGCAAAGGTGGATAAAATTTACTGGGGCCTCAGCATGGGGCAAGGGCACTAAACCGTACAAGTAGTCACTGTATTCTTTACTCACAGTTTTTAAAAAAAGTTTTACTTATGAATGCCTTTGATGAAGTAGTAAAAATTATTTAATTACATCTCAACCCTTGATTATACATCTTTCTATTATTCTGTGTGAAGAAACAGGAAGTTCCTCAGTGCATTTCTGCTGCATTCTCAAGAAAAAGTGCTCATAAGATTATTTGAGCTGTTAGCTTAATTAACTAGGTGTTTTTTTTTTTACTTGTTTGTTAATTTGTTTTTCATGAAATACCATTTTTACTTGAAAAAATGACAAACTAGTATGCGTGAATACGTACTTGGGTATTCGGCAGACATTTTCTTGAAAATTAGCAAAGTAAGCCTATTACTTAAGAAAAACAACTGACAGAGTAGAGTTTGTTGCCAAAAATCAAAATCAAAATTTCAGGCTGGGCATGGTGGCTCACACCTGTAATCCTAACACTCTGGGAGACCAAGGCAGGAAGATTGCTTGAGGCCAGGAGTTCGAGACCAGCCTGAGCAAGAGCGAGACCCTGTCTCTACTAAATACAAGAAATAATGAGCTCAGCGCGTTGGTGCAGTCCTATGGTCCCAGCTACTTTGGGAGCCTGAGGCAGGAGGATCACTTGAGCCTAGGAGTTTGATGCCTCAGTGAGCTATGACGACACCACTGCACTCCAGCCTGGGTGACAGAATGAGACCCCATCTCTTAAAAAAATAAATAAATAAAAATAGAATTTTAGAAATTTGTATTCACCTCCATGAGCTTGACAGCTTCCTATTGGTTAAAGACTTTCCTGGTGAGACTGCTGGTGATACCAAGAATGTGATTTTTTTGTATGATGAAACGTGTCAGCATTCGGAAGATCTGCTTATCTGATTGAAACAGTATTTTCTAAATGATTAATACATGATGTTACAAAATCACACATGAGTAAAAGATCCTTTCAAAGTGCAAGATAGACCAATTCATTTTAATGTAACAAGAGTATAAAAATTTCATTGATTTGGTTTCAAATTCTACCTTGTAGCTAATCTGTAAAAAACTACTACTTGTCAGGATTTGGTAGAGTATCAAAGAAGAATATACACAATTTTCTGAAAAGGTTATTAAAATATCGTCCCTTTGTATACTATACATATGTGTGAGGCCAGATTTCTTTTTTCTTTTTTGAGACAGAGTCTCACTTTGTTGCCTGGGCTAGAGTGAGTGCCGTGGCCTCAGCCTAGCTCACAGCAACCTCAAACTCCTGGGCTCAGAGGCCAGATTTTCTTTATATGCTTCAACCAAAACAACATATTGCAACACATTGAAAACAGTAGCAGATAGAGTATCAGCTATGTTCTAGTAAGCCATACATTAATGAAATTTGCAAAAAGATCAAATAATGCTACTCTTCTCATTTTTTTTTTTTTTGGATAAGTTATTTTTTATTAAAAAAGGTTTCATTGTGTTATCGTTTAATGGGTATGTTTAAATGAATTAGTAAATATTAAAACTTCAGTTTTAATTTCCAATATAGTAAATATCAGTAGTTATAACCAATGTAAACAAAAGCTCTCAGGGTCAATCATTTTTAAAGATATAAAGGTGTCCTGAGACAAAAATTTTGAGAACTGCTGTTCTAAACTAGCTTTCATAATGATATAAACTATAGAACAAAAGATCAAAGGCATAGTAGTACTATATCATTCATTATCAAAAAATATAGCTCAGACTAAAAAAGTTTACATTAATAGTTTCTTTTTCATATTTGAAACTTTCAGCATCTGCATACTTAATCTATTTTGATATTTCTGTTTTTGGTTGTTTAGACATGGTTAGAGGACTAATCTTTGACTCTGTAGCTTAAAATAGCACACTTTTGAAGTTAATTGGTTTCACGGTGTAATGTATTCATTTTTCTTATGGATTCTTTTTAAAACTAAGTCATTTGCTGAGAGCAGTGTTAGAATTTCAAATTTTACAACTTTTTATTTATACCTATCTGTAGGTAGTATTGCCCCTATCTTTACAGACTGGAGCAAGATGAGGCTCAGGGAGGCTGTGACATTCTTAAAATTTTGATGGTTTAGGTCCTCTGGCTTTGTGCTGTCTGCATTAACCATAATAACACTTGGCCATTAGAAGTAATCGGGGTGTGGATGCTAGACCACTAAAATGTAATAAAAATTCATGTTTGAAGATAGTAGGATGAATTTGAAGTAATCAGAATTCGATATTCTTTACTTTCTTTTTTTTGCTGGTATGACTCTCAACTTCTAGTTGATCAAACAAGGAAAACTGTCAAAGAACACTTAGAACTCTTTGCACTGTTTTGTAATTCTCCTTGTCATGAGTTCTGGCTCAGTCTCACAATTTGCCCTCTTGTTTCAGGTGCCCACCAGCTGACCTCTCCTCCTTCTCAGTCAGAGTCTCTGCTGGCCATGTTTGATCCACTGTCTTCACACGAAGGTAAACTAATGAACTTTTTGGCTTTTGTCACAGACAGAACAAAGAAACCAAAACCCTTTGTTAATGCCTTTGTTGGATTAGTTGTGTCTCAGTTACAAAACTTTTCTTTTTCTGTTTTGTAGGAGCTTCTGCTGTGGTTAGGCCAAAGGTTCACTATGCTAGGCCATCACATCCACCACCAGATCCCCCAATCCTGGAAGGAGCTGTGGGAGGAAATGAGGCCAGGTTGCCAAACTTTGGTTCCCATGTTTTAACTCCAGCCGAAATGGAGGCATTCAAGCAAAGGCATTCTTACCCTGAGAGATTAGTTCGAAGCAGGAGTTCTGATATAGTATCTTCTGTCCGGCGACCCATGAGTGACCCCAGCTGGAACCGACGTCCAGGGAATGAAGAGCGAGACCTCCCTCCGGCTGCAGCCATTGGTGCTACTTCTTTGGTGGCTGCACCTCATTCATCATCTTCGTCCCCGAGCAAGGACTCCTCAAGAGGAGAGGTATGGGACACAGGCCATGTAGAAAAATTTTCTAATTGTGGTTAACTTTAGTGTTCTATCTGCCTGATTCTATTGATATCTGAAATTAACATGGAATATATAGATCTAGGATTAAGGATGCACAGTAGTCATGATTAAAGATAATTTGTCGGCTGGGCACAGTGGCTCACACCTGTAATCCTAGCACTTTGGGAGGTGGAGGTGGGAAGATCACTTGAGGCCAGGAGTTCAAGACCAGCTGGGTAATAGTGAGACCTGGTCTCTACAAAAAATAAAAAAAAAATTAACCAGGCATGATTGTGCACACCTCTGGTCCTAGCTACTCAGGAGGCTGAGGCAGGAGGATTGCTTGAGCCCAGGAGTTGGAGGCTTCAGTGAGCTATGATGATGCCACTGTACTCTAGCCCAGGCAACAGAGTGAGACCCTGTCTCTAAATAAATAGATAGATAGATAGATAGTCGATCTAGTATGGCCACAATCATAGAAAATCTATGCAGCTTTGGTTTTGTATTAATAGTAATACCGTCTTGCATTTTTGTGACACTGTTAACTTTTCTCCAAGCAATTTGTATCTGATGATTTTGTAACCATCTGAGATGAGGTATGACTTTTTTATCTTGAAACAATCATGAAGTTATAAAAAATTTGAAAGTACAGTAAAAGAACACTTCTCCCCATTTGAGAGCAAGTTGCCAACCTGGTGCTCCATCACCTCTGAATATGAATACTTTAGTGTAAGTTTCCCACAAACAGGCACATTCTCCTGCACATTGTAGTACAGCCATCAGCATCAGCAAACGAACACTGATACATCACTACCTTCTAATTTTCACACCCGTGTGTGTGTCCCCAGTTGTTCCCATCTTTATAGTAAAGGATGCCATTCAGAATCACAGGCTGCTTTTAGTTGTCATGTCTTTTTAGTTTCTTTCAGTCTGGGACAGTTCCTCAGTTTATATGACCTTGATACTCTTGAAATTTACAGACCAGTTATTTTCTAGAATGTCCCTCAGTTTTGGTTTGTTTGATGTTTTCTCATGATTGGATTCAGGTTACTCATCTTTGGCAGGAATATCACTGAAATGACACTGTTCTTTTCATTGCGTCCTGTCAGGTAGCACACAGTTTTAATTTGTCCCATTATTCTGTGGTCTTCATCTGGATGAAGGTGGTGTCTTCCAGGCTTCACCACTATAAAGTTACTCTTTTCCCCTTTATAAGTATTTTGTTGGGGGGATAGTTTGAAAATATGTAACTATCCTGTTCATCAAATTTTTTACTTATCTACTTATTAATTATATCTATTGTCTCATGGTTTTCTCTTTTAGTCAGTGGGCTTGTTACGGTCATTTATTTTGAAGCCCGGTCGTCCCTAATTTGGCCAATGGGAGCCCCTTCAAGCTGCTTCTGAGTTCTTTTGACATGTTGCTATTATTCTTTGATAATTTCTTTGCTTTCTGGTACAAGATGTTACAAGCTTACATTGTACTTTGTCTGCCCTAGTCCTGGGATTAGCCATTTCTCTAAGGAGCCCTTGTTCATTTTAGTGAAAAATAGTTTTTAGAAATTGAGATCTGGATACAGTGTTCATTGCTATAGGGCTGTTGCTGTTTCCAGGACTTTTCAGTGGACGGATCTAGGGAGTATGTGTGTGTGTTTATACACCCACATTTACCAGTGTATTTATTTCTGTATCTGTCTTTTTCTATAAATAGCAATGTGAGCTCATACTGACACTTTCAGTTCTAGTCCAGAAACAACAGAATTTGTTTCATCTTTCTTCCATATTTGTAACTCCCTTCTCCAACAGTGAGAAACCTGCTTTCATTATTTTTTGTGTATGTACTTACTTGATCAGTCCCCCTGTATGCAATCAATTTCTCATCCCCACTGCCAACTCCTCCCTAGCGTAGATGCCCTCATCTCTCTGCTAGGGTTCTGATACCTCATTCCCATGGATGCCCTTAAAGAGGATATTTTTAATCTGAGTTTTGTAAATGAAAAAATTGAAATTAGGTGATTCATTCATGGTCATTTGATAGGATAGTAAAGGAATTATTGTCTTTGCCCTTTGACATTTCTTAATGATAACTCAGTATAATTGGTGATCAAGAAATGATCTAAGTTTAAGTCTCAGCTGTGCCACATACAGGCTGTGTAACTTTGAGGAAAATGGGAGATTACTTTTTTTAGTTTCATAGTTCTCATCTGTAAAGAGGGCTTAATAATAGGACCTATCTCCTAAGGCTTCTGTGACGATGAAATGAGATAATATTATATATATCTTTATGCTCAGTATTTGGCATATGGTATACACTCGGCTTTATTAACTACTGCTACTACCATCTCAGCTACCCCGCTAGAGTTTATTTGCACTGCATTTATTTATTCCATAAGTATTTATTGAGTGCCTACTGTATATCAGTCTCTGTATTAAGTTTTTGGTTTATTAACATAATGAGATAGTACCTGCTCTCAAGCAGATGATAGTCGGGTGCTTAAAAGGTATACTTCCATGTTCCAGAAGTCGCCTACGTGGCAATAAGAACAGCTTTGTTTTAAGGCAGACAAGACTGGTTTTTGTATTTCACAGACTTCTGAAATCCTTTTCATGGTAATTTATCCTGCTGCCAAACTCCAAATAAAGCATCCAACTTTTTCTACAGACTGAAGAACGCAAAGATAGTGATGATGAGAAATCAGACAGGAACAGACCTTGGTGGAGAAAACGTTTTGTTTCAGCCATGCCTAAAGGTAATTTTATAAAATATTAGAATGCTGTAATTATTAGCAACAAGAAGCAAAGCCATAAAATCTCTTTCAGAGAGCCAGTATGTCAACTCCTCTGTGAGACTTGCTGGACATAAGTTTCTAGCTGTTTTGAAGATGTAGAAAATGGTTTCACTCATGAATGTTAAGGCAGAGCTTTAGAAATGTTCTTGTTCTTTGCAGGAAGTGGTAGTGATTTCATAAATGGAAGTCATGCCGGTCAACTTTTGTTTAAGTATCATATACTATTGAAGTTAAACATAGGACTTTCGACATATGTATTGCTATTAATTACTGCAGGAAAATGGGATGCTATTGGTAATTAAACATTCCCCTGGATTGTTAATGTCCTGAAATAAATTTAAGCTTTCTATGTCTATATTCATTGAGAATGTTTATACGCTAAATATTAGTGAGTGTTTATTTTGGAAGGTAGTTGTATAAAATTGTTTGCTTTTTTGGTGAATAGCCTGGCATCATTTGAGTTGGCAGAAGCCTCTCTTCCTGAAAGGAGAGATCATCCAGGAATAAAGCTGGGGACTTGGTCCAGAGGCCTCTTCTCAGCCCTGTGGCACTTAGGAACTGAGGAGAGCTGCTTTCATGCCATACTCAGGCCCACTTGAGGAGGAGGAGAGAATGAGCCTAGGAGTTTTCAATGTGTTGTCTTTGAGCAGGGGTTAAGAGGCAGTGGTTTTGATTTAGTCCTAATGGATTCCTATTAAATCATTCTTCCTATAGCAGATGACTCCAAAGCAGATTCTGAAAGCTCCTTTTAAGAAACTTCAATGCTATTTTAAGAACGATTATCAGTCGACACTTGGGATTTCTTAGCTTTTAAACTTTTCAACTTCCTTTCACTTAGAAATGTTGGCACACCAGTTAACTTCCAAGTAGTGCAGTATGTTATATGTCACACTACTGACTTTATTTAATTTCCAGCTCCTATACCATTTAGAAAGAAAGAAAAACAAGAAAAAGACAAAGATGATCTGGGGCCTGACAGATTCTCAACACTCACAGGTTTGTAGACCCATGGACTTCCTGGCTCCTTCATTCCCAGAGCACATATTTCATAACACTTTTTCTTGGGTGCCATAAGCGTTGCCTTTTTAGAAGAGTGTGTCTGTGTGTGTATAGTGGGGAGTATGTTCTTCATAGCTCTGTGGTTTCCAATTGGCAGCCACAGTGAATCTCAGTGTGCTCTTCCTGCAGACCGCCACCACCATCATCATCCTCATTATCATAACTTCCGTTTATGGTGAGGCCCCTGATGCTGAGCCTCTAGGCATACCCTACACCTCGACATCTAGTGGGATGATGACACACAGTGCCTTTTAGGAAAGTGTGGTGACGGTTTTAGTGCTGTGCATGCCATATCTTTGGATCATTGATTGAATAGTTTTCTCTAACATTAATTGTAGAATGCTAAATTTATGTTCATCTAGAGTTCTTGATTATTCAGGATCACAATGAAATTCTGTTTTACCTAATCATTTCCTTTTTTGTGTTTGTTCAAACAATATCATAAATGCCAACCATTATAATAAAAGTTTTAAAAACTTTACTAATTTTTTACAGCTTGAACCATTTTAACATTGCTGTCTGACTCATGGGAAATAAAACTAGGGGTCGAGTTCTTACCTTACTCAGCATTTATATTTCTGCAGCTTCTTTCTGGCACATTATGAAGGAGCACCCTAAAAGGAAAGTTTAAGAGGTAGTGTTAATGACACAACCTTGGGTTTGATAGCTGTGTATTGCTTCCAGTGGCTATAGAGTATCTAGAGGGAAATTCATTTCTCACCTTTCCTCTTTTTTTCTTATCTTGATTTTAAATTATGTTATCCTACTATCCTACTAAGTGAAAATGAAGATTTTCTTGTTAAAAAGTGAGATAGGTTTCAAAAGAACAGCCTCCTCAAAGAATTCAGCATAGTATAGGTAGAATCCCATTTTAATGTATATAATTTTAATGTCTAGTTAAATATATATTTATATTATATCTATACATATAAATATATATTTAGGTGTATTTCTATGTCCTAGCATATACTTCCTTGACTTATTTTATATGGTGACTTCCCTGGAATAAAGGGTTTTGAATAGCAGTGCCTACAGGCTATGGTTTCCTGATGAGAGCAGCCAGGCCTGTCCTATTCAATCAGCAAATATTTGTTGACCATCTGACTCATGCCAGGCACAGTGCTAAGTGTTGGGGGTGTTAAGTCAAATCACACGTGGCCTCTGTCTTATTGGGAAGAGTTGGAGTGACGTCATCCTTTTGGCAAGGTATTTATGTATCCTTCCCACATGTTTCTAATGTTAGAAGAACACTAATGTTTTACTTGCACCTTCGTACAATACGTTTCTCTTGGTTCTTGGTGTTGGGATGAGAAACTGAGTAGAATAAGTTTTTTTCTTAAAGTAATTCATTTTCTTTGGATATGATTTAAGCAATTTAACTTCCCTACTGGTCCGAAATTTCTACGAAGTCCTAATTAATGACCTATTGAAAAGTTATGAGATCAATTTTAAAACGATATGCAAGGAAATTTCTATTTTTTTTTTTTTTTTTTTTTTTGAGACAGAGTCTCACTGTGTTGCCCGGGCTAGAGTGCCGTGGCATCAGCCTAGCTCACAGCAACCTCAAACTCCTGGGCTCAAGCGATCCTCCTGCCTAAGCCTCCCGAGTAGCTGGGACTACAGGCATGCGCCACCATGCCCGGCTAATTTTTTCTATATATTTTTAGTTGTCCAATTAATTTCTTTCTAATTTTAGTAGAGACGGGGTCTCGCTCTTGCTCAGGGTGGTTTCGAACTCCTGAGCTCAAACAATCCGCCCGCCTCAGCCTCCCAGAGAGCTAGGATTACAGACGTGAGCCACCGCGCCCGGCCCGAAAGGAAATTTCTTAATAGTCCATAATCCTGCCACCTTATTTTTTTCATGTTCTCTCCCAATCTTTTTCTATATTTATATGTGGTGTTTTCTTGATTGGATTAGATTATGCATTTGCCTTTATATTCTTTTACCACGTGATTTTATAGACCCTCTCCCAATATCTATTAGACATAGTAGGGTTTTTAATAATTTTTATCAGCTACAAAATCTAGCGTGATGCTATTACAGTGTAAATGTACTCTTACTAGTGGATATTTAAATTGTTATAAATTTTTTATTATGAAAACAGTGCTCACAGCTTTGTAATGTGTATAGCACTTTTTGTTGAATTATTTTCCTGAGATAAAATTTTTAAGAATGGTGTTAACAGAAATAAAGGTTATAAACATTATGGCTCTCATTATGTTTAGCCAGCACTCAAAAGCATTAACCAAAAAGTACTCCCCTCCCTCAAAGTAAGATTCTGTAATGATAAAGGGTTTACCAGTTACATTCAGAAAAGTACAGATTCAGTTAGGAATGACTTATCATGAATTCAAATGCCATCGTAGCAGAAATACTAAATTTACTTTGGAAATCCTCTTTTTATATAGTCGTTGCTCAGCATACATGGGGGATTTGTTCCAGGCCACCCCTCCCCTATCCTCCAGGTATACCCAGATCCCTGCATACTCAAGTCCTGCAGTTGGCCCTGTGGAACTCAGGAAAAGTCAGCCCCCTGCATACTCAGGTTTTGCATGTCAGGAATACAGTATTTTTGATCTGCTTTGGGTTGAAAAAATCGATGTATAAGCAGAGCTGTGCAGCTCAAACCCGTGCTGTTCATGGGTCAGCTGTAGTTTCCTACAGGTTTATAGAAACATGAATACCAAATATTTGTCTCATGGAAACAGCAGAAGAGCCTGTGAGCATGCTGCTTAACTTCTGTGTGCCTTGATTTCCTCTTCTGTAAGATGGGGCGATCTGTAGTACCCCCTGTGACATCACTTGATGATTAGTTGAGACAGTTTTCATATAAGGTCCTTAGCCCAGTTCCTGGCATGTGGTAAGTGCTCAATAAACGTTAGCTGCTGTTAATATTAGCTGCTGTGAACACACACACACACACACACACACACACGCACACGCTCTAGTGATTTTGATGTGTTTTTAGATTTTTTTAAAAAATGGGATTCTACCAGAATCTGGACATTTATGGTTACCTACTTGGCCTAGATCTATCTCAGCTGTCTGTGTTTCACTGTGGAACTTTATTTTGTTCTGTATATCTATAGCAATTCTTTGCTTTAACAACTCAGTTAATTAATGACTACCATTTTAGACTCTAGGATAACATTTTTGATGTGATTTTGTTGACAGGATAACGGTCCTGTCGGTAAACAGTACTGCATTTGTGATTGTGATAAGTTTTTTCTCTGTGTATCCCAGCTACAATTCCAGCACTCCCCAAGAATGTCTAGATTCTCTAGGAGTGCCTCTCACACCATTGCATGCACAAAATGCTCTATTCCAGCAGCTGCACTGTCATGTGAGATCTAGTGAGATAGAATATGAATACCTGTAGTTTTCAAATGTGGTATAGAAAGAAATCATGAAGGAAGAATGGAGATAGATATGTTTTATTATTGAAAAGGATTTAAGTCTAAGTTTGAATAGTTCTTTTTTTCCTCCTTCAGCATGGAGATGTCTGAATAAATGAAGTCTGCACATAAAAATGCATTGTTGGAAGTTCTGTTAGCATGAATTGCTAATAACAGTGATTTGAGTGTAAGCACTTTAAAAATCCGTCATCCATTCAGTCTGCACTGAACTTTGACACTGTCATGCAGAATTCTGGTGATGATGAGAAAGTGGAGCTACTCCTCCCAATTTCCTGCTTTGACAAGGATCTCAGACTTAGAAATGGGATGAGTAGGCAGCTGCATGGTGCCTCTTAACTTTGAGATATGTGCTCTTTTTAAGTCTTACCTCCTAATCCGCCTTTGGGATTATGCTACTGGTGTCATACTAACATCAGAGTTGGTACCAACCAAAGGAGCTAATTCTCACTCTCCTTTCCCTGCAGATGATCCCAGCCCTAGACTCAGTGCACAGGCTCAGGTTGCTGAGGACATTCTGGACAAATACAGGAATGCCATTAAACGGACCAGCCCCAGCGAGGGAGCAATGGCAAACTATGAAAGTGCAGGTGATAATCACAATAAATATTTGAATAGTAACTTTTAGATCACAGTGATAAAGGAAATCTGAATTTAAATAGCCTTTAAAAGAAAGAATAGCTAGGGGAACCATTTTATTACCTCAAAATTACAGACTTTATAACCAAATCAGATTAAATTGATGTCCCTCTCCACACTCTCCTGCTAAGTGTAGGTACCCCCTGATGTTCACATGCCTTAGAGTTGTCATCCTCTGAGTCTGGGGTGACTGGCCCAGAGGGAATTGGGGCATGCTATAATGGGAAGAGATTTATTTTTACTGTCTCCAGTACTGTAATTCTATCTGGTTATACACTTATTATAGCTGTGGGAGCAGACACTTGGGTTATCCATTGTTGCTTGGTACTTATTTTTTAAAGGATTCTGTTTTTCTTATAGTGGAATGCTAAATAGCTGTCAGAAAGATATGGTATAGTCCCTAAGATAAATTAAGGGGGAAAAAAGTATATAAAAGCATAAACAGTTTACTGCAGATACTCATGCTTGTATGTGCATAGAGTATCTTCTGGAAGAATCTCCAACAAACTGGTAACATGAGTTGGCTCTGAGGAGGACTCCTGGGGAGGCTGAGAGGGGGAGTGAGGGGAGAGGAGAACTCACACTTTTTTATTTTGAAAAGTTTTAAAATAACAGAAAAGTTAAAAGAATAGTACAATGAAGTTTCATATACCTAGACTTACCAATTGTTAACATTTTGCCACATTTCCTCTTTCTATATTTTTTCCTTTTTTTCCTGAAGCATTTGAAATTATCTCCTAAGAATAAGGATACTTTCCAACATAAACAGTATCTTTTTTACATTCAGGAACTTTTTATTCCTTTTGAGTTTGTACATGTATTATCTATTCTTAATTGATTAATTAAAAACATAAAAACCACTGTGGGAACTTCAGATCTGACCTTGCTGCATTTGTGAATTGGTTCCCTGACTCATTCTTGGGTGTAGTGAGAGAAGCTCCAGTGGGGAGAAGCAGGATGCCTGAGCCCTTGGTCTACCTCAACCATTGCCCAGGGGATTTAGAGCAAGCCATTTTCTGACTGGGCAGGAGTCCATGCCTATAAATGAGGGTATTGTATAAAATGATTTTTGAGGCCTCTTCTAGTTTTATGGTTCAGTGATTCTGATTACAAGATACTAACTTTTATTAAGTTAAAACAGGCTTTCATTGTTTGCATTAGGATTGGGAAAAGAGGTAAAACCATTCTTTTCTCAACAGCTACTGTCTTGGTACATTATTGTTGTTATTGATAACTTGGTTAAGTGTTCGAAGTTTTTTTCTTTTTTTCCAAAGAACTCTTACTGTGAGTCAATGCTAATTTATGATTGAGTTGCTCTGAATACCAACTAGTGCCAGAATATTTCAAATTAACCTGGTTATCCTTTTCTGGGGTGGGGTGGGTTTTGTTCAGAGGTTATGGGTGATGGTGAAAGTGCACATGATTCTCCACGGGATGAAACACTGCAGAACATCTCGGCCGATGATCTCCCCGACTCCGCAAGCCAAGCAGCTCACCCTCAGGACTCAGCTTTCTCTTACAGGTATTTCTTCTATAGGATTTGGGACTTTCGGGTTTGGACTTTTCGTCACCATTGCAGTCACTTCAAGTGAAGTGATTCATTGAGTCACTTAATAAATGTATAAAGCAGAGAGATAAGATTGAAATGCTGTTTACTAATAAGACTTTGCTTCAGTTGGGAATGTCATCTATGAAATTCAGGGATTAAAAAAAGCTCATATACCCACAGGAACCGCATGAGTAATTGAAATGAAACAGGTTGCAGTGCCCCTGCCCATGCAAAGCTGCCAGCCCACATGAGCAATGTCAGGAGCTGGGATTAGCTGCAGGGTGTTGGATAACCCACTATCTCCAGTAGAGCCACTAGAGCCCTCTCAGTTTGTCTTCTTCCTCATCCCCTGGGTGGGTCTATTTCTTTTTTTTTTTTTTCCCTTGGAAACAGGGTCTCCCTTTTTGCCCAGACATGAGGACATTAGCCAGTAGCATGATCATAGCTCACTGTAACTCGTGGGCTCAAGTGATCCTCCTGCCTCAGCCTCCCAAGTAGCTGGGACTACTACAGGTATTCACCACCACACCCAGCTAATTTTTCTATTTTTTGTAGAGAGAGGGTCTTGCTATGTTGCTCAGGCTGGTCTCAAATTCCTGACCTCAAGCAATCCTCCTGCCTTGGCCTCCCAAAGTCCTAGGAGTACCGGCATGAGCTACTGTGCCCAGCCTCTTTCTCTTTTTAATGGGGCTTCAGAAAGAACATGACTTTAGGATTCTGAAATTCTTCCTTTGCGTAATAAGGAAACTCTGTTTCCCTCAGACAAGGAGCATTGCTTTTAAGGCACCATTATCTCTTGTGGACTTAGGAAGTTCTCTCTCTCTTCTCTCTCAACTTTTTATTCTAGAAATTTTCAGACCTGTACAAAAATAAGAATGCATCGATATTCTAATTACCCAGATTCAACAGTTATTAACATATGACCAATATTGTTTCATATTTACACTTCCCCAATTATTTTAAAGCAAAATCTAAATAGCATATTATTTTACTTATAAATACTGTGAAGCTTTACAGTTTTTTTTCCTACAGTAAAATTGATAGAGGCAGACAGAATTTTTATTTCCAGCTATGACTTATTTTGCTAAATTCATCAGGTGACTTTACCATTATGGGTAAATATTGTATTTGATCAGTTTGATTTCTGAATCACTCATTTTATACGAAGAAAAACGACAGGGAAAGATTCAGAGCTAGTCAGATGAGGTGTGGAGGGATAACCCTACAGAGGGAGGCATACACTCTGGCTTGTTCTCTAAGGTGTTTAGACTGCTACTTTGGATGGCAGATTTGAACATTCTCAAGAAGTTCTGGTCCATGCCCCACAGAACCAGAAAGGGCCACAGGTACTAGCAGATGAAAGAAACTTGATGGTATCTCCCAGTATGAAAAGCTGCATTGTTGGGGAGGGCGACACCTTCTGAAGAGTGTGCTACCGTCAGGTGGTAGTAGGTAATTCTGTAGTTGGAAGTTAAAAGGAAGCAGATTTTGGCTCAACATGAAAAATTTTCAACATTAGAGTGATAGGGCTTCTTGTCAGGTAGTGAGCTTGTCTTGTGGCAGAATCAGCATTTCTCAAGAGACATGGAAAAGGACATTCTAAATTTGGGTGGTTCCAGTGACTTCTATAGTCCACCTACTCTGACATAATATGCTCTCCTGATTCTCCTCATGGTGCCTATCATAGAACTCAGCATGTGATAAAAGGTCGAAAAGGATTTGTTGTTTGGCTGGTTCTGATGACTTTATAGAATGGTCCTTGCCCAGAGCACTTTTATAACCTTGCTTCTCAGATGACTAGAAAGCCTGTTCTTTTAAGTGGGGCATCAGTGACTTAAAAATTATCTTTTTTTAAATGACCATTTGAAACATTTGAATTCTGAAGTAAAATATTAATTTATATAGTAAGTAATCATAAAATGTGACCGTATTTGGATAAAGAAATGAGCATGTTTTCTATTTGTTCTTCAGAGATGCGAAAAAGAAACTGAGGCTTGCTCTTTGCTCTGCCGACTCTGTTGCCTTCCCAGTGCTAACCCATTCGACGAGGAATGGTTTACCAGACCATACAGACCCAGAAGGTAAGTTGCTACAGGATGTCTTATTTTTGCTTACATTTGTAGGTTGAACCATATGAAATTGCCAGTATTCAGCTGTTTAAGCTATACAGTTCCATGTGGTTCAACTGAATACATTTGTATTAGTGTCACTTAAGGGCATTTTGATTACTGATGGTTTATTAAAGTATTTTCTAATTGGGAGTGGCAGTACAGCTAAGTTCTAATGATACGTGATAAAGCAGAATTGACATCCCAGATACTGAGAGGTTGCATACAGCTGATGTAATTAAGCCCCTGGAAATTCTCAATAATAACAGAATTCTTATTTTTTTATTTAGACAATGAAATTGTATGCTTCTTAAAAGTTCAAATAGCTGAAGCAATTAATTTACAAGATAAGAACTTAATGGCTCAACTTCAAGAAACAATGCGTTGTGTATGCCGTTTTGATAATAGGACTTGTAGAAAACTGCTGGCGTCTATTGCTGAGGACTACAGGTAATATACCCAGCCTGTTCAGCTTGTAAACCTCATTTTTATCTGCAAGTGTTTTCTTTTAGGTCCTTATTTCAGAAATGAATCTAGGCTTACTACAAAGTGCTTGGCTATATTTACTTGGATATAGATTTCTGAGCAACACATTTGGGTATTTAGAAATGTAGTTATAAATTAGCAGGTCTAAAAGAGCAGTACAGTTTATTTCAGCTTTACACAAAGCTGCTGACATCATGAAGCCAGGGTAACTAGGGTATTATTTTCATTTTTTTAGAAGTGATAGGAAAGACTATTATCCCGGACCAAAGGAGTGGGAGTAGTAGCCTTAGGAATTGCTATGCTTTTCTGCTCCCAGTCCCCTGCTAATGGCTGTGGAGAAAAATTTAACTGAGATGCATAGGAAGTTAGGAGGCTTCAAGGCTTAGGGAATGGGTGCTCTAATGATTGTTACATTTAGACTCTAAGCAGATGATTAGTGGAGGACTTTTTTTTTTTCCCCCAGACAGGGTCTTGCTCTGTTGCCCCTGCTAGAGTACAATAGCATCATCATAGCTCACTGCAGCCTTAAACTCCTGGGCTCAAGGGGTCCTCCTGCCTCAGCCTCCCGAGTAGCTGGGACTACAGATCTGTGCCACCATGCCCAGCTAATTTTTCTATTTTTTGTAGAGACAGGGTCTTGCTCTTGCTCAGGCTGGTCTCAAACTTCTGGTCTCAAGCAGTCCTCCTGCCTCAGCCTCCCAGAGTGCTGGGATTATAGGCATGAACCACCAGGCCCAGCCTGGTAGAGGATGTTTTGCGACCTAGTGGTATATAATCTTTATTTTGCTGTTACTTTTCATCTTCTCCTACCAATGTGGAGACTGTGCTTCCATATATAATAGACCAAGTATGCAAAGGGACTTAGCAACTTTTAGTTGAGTTAGGTATCTAAGTGATGATATTCTTTCTTCCCAGGGATGATAAATGGGTCTGTTTCTTGAGCAGCATGATTAGTCCCCAAGACAGTTGTCTGCAGCCTGACATGCCAATTCGTAAAACCAAAATCTGTGCAGTAATTTTTTATTTTTTAAAGAAAAATTGGGAACATTGGCCAGGCGGGTGGCTCATTCCTATAATCCCAGCACTTTGGGAAGCTGAGGCAGGAGTATCACTTGAGGCCAGGAGTTTGAGACCAGCCTGGGCAACATAGCAAGACCCCATCACTACAAAAAAATTAAAAATTCGCGGGATGTTGCAAGGATCACTTGAGCTCAAGAGTTTGAGACTACAGTGAGCTATGATCGCACCACTGTACTCCAGCCTAAGTGACACAGTAAGACCCTGTATCTAAAAAAAAAAAAAAAGAAAAAGAAAAATTGGGAACCTCAATCTTCAAAGAAAGTGTGCCCTGTGTAGACCCAATGTCCTGCAAAGTATTTTGCCTTTTAGGAAAAGAGCCCCATATATTGCTTATCTCACTCGTTGTCGACAAGGACTACAGACCACACAGGCTCACCTGGAAAGGCTGTTACAAAGGGTTTTGCGGGACAAAGAGGTGGCCAATCGATACTTTACAACTGTCTGTGTGAGGTTACTGCTTGAGAGCAAAGAAAAGAAGATCAGGGAATTCATTCAAGGTAACTCAATACCTTTACATTAAGCATCTCTTTAGCCGTATGCTCTTGGGAAGATTTGGAAATTTTGTTTTGTTTTGCTAGCTTGTTCAAGTACCTGCATGCCTCAAATACCCACTTATTTTATGGATTCCTAGTAATTAAACTTTGATGTCGAACCAATAAATTACATTTTTCTCCTGGATTAAATATCTATAGTTTATTCTAAAAATTGGGGAAATTGGTAAATTTTTGGATCCACGTGAGTTCTCATTTTTTAAAACTAAACGTCATTTTTATAACAAACCCCTTGCACTTAAACTTTCACATATTTCTTCCTTCTTCCTGATTTTAATGATTTGGCTACATATTTTTCTAGAATAAACCACACTCAAACACTTTTGGCTTTAAGATCATGATGTCTGCATAACTAGTGATTAAAATGATTTCTATAATTGCCTTTTAAAAATTATTTAGATAGTTTTTATTAAACTATTTAAAAAGTTATTATTTTGCATTGGAGACTTTCAGAAGCTCACAGCAGCTGATGATAAAACTGCTCAGGTAGAAGATTTTCTGCAGTTTCTTTATGGTGCGATGGCCCAGGATGTAATATGGCAAAACGCAAGTGAAGAGCAGCTTCAGGATGCGCAGCTGGCCATTGAGCGAAGCGTGATGAACCGGATTTTCAAGCTCGCTTTCTACCCTAATCAGGATGGTGACATACTTCGTGACCAGTGAGTGCTTCTGTGCTGAGTGCTTGTATGTTGGACTGTGTAGGGATCTATCAGGTAGCCCGATATTTTAGGCAAGCTGTACATGTGACTTAGTATCTGGTAGTAAAGGGAAACATAGCAGTTACCATTTTTCACCTGTCAGAGTTACATGATCAAAAAGAATGATAATACCCAGTTTCAGGGATGTGGGTAATCAGGCTGGAAGGAGTATAAATTGGTATGGCCTTTTTGGAAAGCACTTGCTGTTTACTGTGCCTCAGATATTCTTCCTTTTCTTCATGTGCTTAACTCTTACTTACCCTTCAGGTCTTGACTGAAGTATCACTTCCCTGGGGTGACCTCTCCTGCCGAGGTTATATCCCCTGTTAGGGTTCTCTCAGGCCTGAGTGCCTTCCATTTGCCATGGTTGCCCTTTGACATTTGTGAGTCATGGTTTCTCAACCTGGCACACTGACATGTGGGCCCAGATTGTTCTTTGATGTGGGAGACTGTCCTGGGCATTGTAGGACGTTTATCAGCATCCCTGGCCTCTACACACCAGATGCCAGCAGTATCCCACCAGTGGTGATAACCAGAGTGTCTCCATACATTGCTAAATGTCCCTTGGGGGGTAAAATTCTTCCCTGTTCTTGATCACTGGTTTGTGTGATGATTTGATGAATGTTGTCTTCCTCGCTGGATTGTTACCTCCACAAGATCGGGAAATAATGCTTTTATTCACCACTCTGTCACAGCGTCAAGCAAGCACAGTGCTTGGATTCTAATATATACTCATTATATATTAATTAGGAGTGACCAGTTATATATTTGAATATCAAAAAATGTCTGGAATTATTTGGCATGTGAATTATATCTCAATAAAACTGTTTAAAAAAACTAGCTGGGTACAGTGGCTCACACCTGTAATCCTAGCACTTTGGGAGGCCAAGGCGGGAGAATCGCTTGAGACCAGGAGTTTGAGACCAGCCTGAGCAAGAACAAGACCCCTGTCTCTACAAATAGAGAAATTAGCCATTCATGGTGGTGGCATGTGCCTATAGTCCCAGCTACTCGGGAGGCATAGGCAGGAAGATTGTTTGAGCCCAGGAGCTTGAGGTTGCAGTGAATGATGATGAGGCCATTGCACTCTAGCCTGGATGACAAAGCAAGAACTCTCTCTCTCTCTCTCTCTCTCTCTCTCTCTCAAAACAAAAACAAAAACAAAAACAAAAACAAAATAATAATCCTGGTGAAAAAATCTGGAATGGTTAGTAATATTGGTTATCTTTGAGTAGTGAGACTATGGAGGATTCAGTATTTTTATTTTTGCTCTTCTGTATTTTCTTGACCGCTGCTTCACAACTCTGCTTCTGCCCCAACCATTTTAAAGTTGTCACCGTGTTTCCCAGAAGTGACAGTGGCTTACTGTGCCAGTGACTCTCAGAAGTCCATGTAATAGGTCTCAGGGTGGGTTATTTGGTTTATATAAGGTTTTCTTTTCTTTCTTTCTTTTTTTTTTTTTTTAATTTTGAGAGGTTTATTCTGAGCCAAATTGGAGGACCATAGCCCAGAGCCACACCCAAGAAGCCTTGAGCAAGTGGACTCCTATATAAGGTTTTCTTTCACGCAAGTTTTAAAATGTTGCATATATATTTGAGAAAACTCACTTCATGTGAAATGGGTTAGGATCATTCCAACTTCCCACTCACCTGTTTGTAGTCTCAGAGGCTGTTGGCCCATCCCAGGCTTCTGTACTTAATGTGCCAGGGCCTGTGTTCTCTCCAGAGCACCAATTTTTGGCTTCAGGCACAGGATGAGGAGTGGGGACATTCAAACTCTACTACAAAGAGCAACTTTGAAGCAGATTCTTTCTACTCCCTCCTCCATGCATTTCTGCAGGTTTTGTGCAGTGTGGAGAGCTAACTTGGTGCTTGGAAAGAACACTAGCAGCAGGAAGCTGGGTGTAGCCCTTGCCACTGACCCCTGTGTGGCCTTAGGCAAATCTTTTACCTTTTTCAGCCTAATTATCTTCGTCTACAGAATGAGAGGTTGGGTGAATTCTACAGTCCCTTCTCCATGTAAGAGCTGTGATCTTTGGTTTCTGGCTTTTGATCCCTCTGTCTCCTCTCACTTTTCTTTTTCTTACTCCCTTTTCCTCTACTTTACTAAATAATGTGTCCCAGCAGCTCCTGGGTTAGGGGCTTTCTCCACTGGAATGCTGAACTAGTCCAGGAAAGAAGGACTTCTCTGTTCTCCCTGCATGCCCTCAGTTTACTCAACAATTCTAAGCAGATCCTAAATATGTACCTTTTTTGACAAGAAAGAATACTTACAGCTAAGAGATAATCTCAACTGTAATTGTAATCTATATCTAGGAATAAGCTGAAAATGTTTTAAAAGGTTTGAAAAAATCAGTATGACTATTTATGTATCTTGTTTTATGCAATGTATGTTTACGTATGTATTTTGGGGGGCGTTTTCAGGGTTCTTCATGAACATATCCAGAGATTGTCTAAAGTAGTGACTGCAAATCACAGAGCTCTTCAGATACCAGAGGTAATGCATGTTTATGTGGCATGGGTGAGATGAGCTAAATGCTGCGTGGTGTACCATATGATGCTACCACTTTTTCAAGGCTAGATATAATTTAGTCTAACTGTAAAGTTCCTGAAGGTGCTTCTAGGGGTTAAAATTCCCTGGTACAGAAAGGAACCTCAGCAGTAGAGAGGAAGGAGTGAGGCAGCAGGAGAAGCCTCTCCCTGAAGCCCCTGGGTGCACACGCAGGGCTTGTCCGCCACGCCCTCCCGGGCAGCACTCTCCATCCTTGCTTTCTTGTCAGGTTTCTGCAGAGACGACCCATTTGAAGAGGGGCTGGGAGCACTCCAGAGAGTGTGATAACTGCTATTCCAGTAGAGATAATCGAATCTGAATGTGACCTCAAAGTACCTTTTAGTTGTTGATACTAGCATTTTTGCCTGTTTCACACATCTCTTACAAAATAAGAAAACAGGAAAATTTCAGGGTTTTTGAGCTTTCTGGTGGTTTTTATTGAAACCTCCACTAATGGAACATTAATTAGTATTAATATAAAATTTTAAATTGTTTGATTTTTTTGAATCTGTTATTTCTAGAGCTATTGCAATAAGGGTACATATTAACTTCTAAATTACCCTCTATTAGTAACTTGTTTACATTTTTGGAGTCAGCTGCTAAACGTAGGGAAGTTCCATCCTAGCTATTTAAGAAAATAATTGTTTGAAATTTTGTGAGTTCTAGGTTCTGTGTTAATTGTAGGCCTCTTTTGTATTAATGGATATCTGGGTTGCTCTATTTTAAAATGCAGAACAAATTATTGTTTAAAAGTTTAAAAATTTAAGTTAAGCTTTGGCTGGGCACAATGGCTCACATCTATAATCCTAGCACTCTGGGAGGCTGAGGTGGGTGGATTGCCTGAGCTCAGGAGTTCGAGACCAGCCTGAGCAAGAACGAGACCCTATCTCTACTTAAAATAGAAAAATTAGCCAGGGGCCGGGCGTAGTAGCTTAGGCTTGTAATCCTAACACTTTGGGAGGCTGAGGCAGGAGGATTGCTTGACCTAAGGAGTTTGAGACCAGCCTGGGCAAGGGCGAGAGACCCCCGTCTCTTTAAAAAAAAAAGGTAAAAATAATAAAAATAAATTAAAAAAATAAAAAGAAAGAAGGAAAAATTAGCCTGGTGTCATGTGCATGCCTGTAGTGCCAGCTACTTGGAAGGCTGAGGCAGGAGGATCACTTGAGTGCAGGAGTTTGAGGTAGCAGTGAGCTATGATGATGCCATGACACTCTAGCCTGGGTGACAGAGTGAGACTCTGTCTCAAAGAAGAAAAGTTAAGCTTCAATCTTGGGTAGAGGGGGAAGGAACCTCAATATGGTTTTACTGGAGAGAGGAAAAGAGCAACGACCTTACCCTCTGCCTCCTGACATGGTGGTTGGGGTGGTCATTGCTGGGGTTGCCATTGGATTTGGAATCTGTACATTGTCTGTGGTCTCATTTAGGTTTATCTTCGAGAAGCACCGTGGCCATCTGCACAATCAGAAATCAGGACAATAAGTGCTTACAAAACCCCCCGGGACAAAGTGCAGTGCATCCTGAGAATGTGCTCTACAATTATGAACCTGCTGAGCCTGGCCAACGAGGACTCAGTCCCCGGAGCAGATGACTTTGTCCCTGTGTTGGTGTTTGTGTTGATAAAGGTAGGCCCCTTACTCCTGTCAGTTAAGGAGTTGTGTCATTCTGAGCAGGGTGGCACAGGGCTTCACTTAATGTTAAAGTTCTTAGCTCTTTTCCAAGTCTCAAGCTTTGTGTCACCCAGAAAGAAAGTGCCTAATGTCAAGATTTGTTCTTTCCAGAAGTTAGGGATTTCAAAAGAAAGAAGGAGGGGACTAGATTCCTAGATGAGTGTTTTCAGCTTTTAAAGCAGTGCCTGAAACTATTAGTTGGGGCTCAGTGTGTAATTGCTGAGTTGAGTAGATGAGGGGAGGTTCTCTCTATTATGCTTTTACCACCTTCTTTCACACTGAACTCTTTGCAGTATCTGTCACATAGACCACCACGTTTACCAGTCATCTCTCCCCTCTCTCAGCCTCTTGTCTGGTAGTGTAAAAGTACCGACATCTCTTGTCCTTCTTTAACTTTTAAAATTAAAATTTCATCATTTAAATGGTTTATTTTGAACATTTTGGGGGCAACCATGCAGTTTGGGTGTACACAGCCACTAAGGGACCTCATCACTTGTGTGTTCCAGTCAGCCCAGCCCAGCTGTTGCTGTCTGAAGTGCGTTTGACACATTTCTCGTTGATTCTTAGTGTTTGCAACGTTTTTGCAGCCTGGACTGTCAGCTCTGAGTCAGAAACCCATGGGATCGGCCACCACAGCTCTTCCTTTTGTTCACTGTTCTTCTCTCTTCCACACGTGATCTGTCTCGTCCTTACATAGAGCCAGTTTAAGCTAGTTTTAAGGAAAAGGCCTTAGCTTGTCCTCCTAGGCATTTCACGGCCTGTGTCTTTTCTCTCCACTTGAAGTAGGTAAAAAAACAGATGTTTTGTGTTACCTCTTGCAGCAGAGGGCATATTCTCTTTTTAGTTTTTTCTTTCTCAGTTGATCCTCCAGACTTACCAGATATAACTCAATTTGTCCACAGCATTTATTTCCTTATTAACATTCTGGAATCCTGGGATGTTCAGTTAGACCACTGGGATTAGTTCAGCCTCCACAGGGACTAGTGAGGTTAAGTAACTTGCAAGGATAGAAAGTTCTAGATAGTTCAGTTAGGACTGGAACCTCGGTTGCCTTTCCAATATACTGTTGCTACTCATAGTAGCTAAAGTTTACAGATTACTTCCAAAAAATGTAAATTGGGGATTATTTTCAAAAGGACTGGTATCTCTTTCACAGAAGAACATTTGAAGAACTCTTAAATGATTGGCAAAGCTGTACATCTGAATAATTGACTCTTGTATTTTTTACTTTTCTAGGCAAATCCACCCTGCTTGCTGTCCACTGTTCAGTATATCAGTAGCTTTTATGCCAGCTGTCTGTCTGGAGAGGAGTCCTATTGGTGGATGCAGTTCACAGCAGCTGTGGAATTCATTAAAACCATTGACGACCGAAAGTGACCAAGACCAAGGCCACCAAGGCAGCAGACTGTTAGTTGGGCATAGAGATCTCTAAGAAAATGTACCAGCTGCTTTGAAGGCTGAAGAAAATTGTTTTTGTATAATATTGTACAGCATTCAGACATTTTAAAACAGATCTTTACTAAACAGATTAATGAGCTAACAAGCAGGTTCTCTTTTCTTTGGGCTCTTTCCTTTCTGAGTTGCATATTTTATTTTCTTGTCCCCAAGTAGAGAATAGTACTGCAAAAAGGGACCACATTTTTCAGGCATTTTTAAATATTAAAAAACAGAACAGAATCTCTTAGAAAATTCCTAGGCCTCCATTCATAGATACCTATTCTTTCTTTTTATTTAAAAAAAAAAAAAAACAGTACCCCTCTTTTATGATGCTGTCTTATCTTATGTGCATCTAATGGAAGGAAAATATCAGTTGCACTGAGGATTATAATAGTGGTGTATTAGTGGCATTATCTATAAATACACTCACCTAAATTGAAAAGCTAAGAAGGAAATGTAAATATAATATATATTTATATTTGATGTAATATGGACATCTTCAGATTCTAATAAACAAGGACTATTGCTGATAATAGGTTGTCACATACCCTCTTGTGAAATGGTTTCCTTGACAAAATTTAAGCTGAGCTTAAAAGCAAAACACAAAAAATACACAAATATTTATTGAAGTGTAATACAGTTTATTGAACTTTCTAGGCATGGAGTTTGATGTGCAGGGCTGCCTTTGATGAGGAGTATAAAAATCATCTATGAGCCTGCATAAAGGAGAGAAACTCTTTAATTATCATATATTACATAAAATGAACAGTAGATACCTAATACTTTATTGTGGTACTTATTATCTGAAATACTAAATATACTGTAGAAACCCCAGACAAAGCTCCTTACAAACCTTTAATTGCAATATATTTTTGATGATGATTCACATTGAATGCACAGACCAGGAATTCAGTGAATGTCATTTTTTTTAAAACTAATTTGTATTGTGTGCTCTAGTGATACAAGTTTTACTAGTGATAAACCATTTTAATCAACCATACTATTCTTATGGAAAAAAAATCTATTTTGGCAGGTTTCTGTGCCTTTATTTCCCTCTTCTGAAAAAAAGTCTGTGTTTTAGTAGTTTTGTTTGCATTGTATATTGACAATTAATCAGGAATGGGTTTTGGTGCCTGAGAAATTGGCCAGGGAGGCACACCGGAGCATCAAGCACAAGTCTCATACATAGGCCATCACTGACTGGTTTCACTTTGTACATTTCCTAAACTTGCTGAGCTGCTTTTATAACAAACTCAGTCCCATACTTTGAGTCCCTTGTTGGTGGATCATTTCCAGGTATTTTTTAAGGTAACTGTGGCAAACAGCCTTGAGCAGATGAATACAGAGGGCTGTCTGCTCTCTGTCTCTGAGATCTCTGTCTCAGAATGCCTAAACAAAGTGGACTTCATGTCTCCAACTCTTCTCATTCACTTACTTTGAAATAAGAAAATAACAGGTTGTGTAGGAGTGTGGATGTGGTTTCTGCCCTCAAGGGAGAGATCAAAATTAAACTAGTTCTATGAAATGTCCTTTCGAATGTTAGGTCAAGAAATCTGTGTACAGAGTCATGTGCTTTATGGGCTGTAACTGTCAAACTTGCCTAGAATTAGAAGTCAGATCCCATCATTACAAGACAAGCTATGTGACATGATTTCTGAGACCTACGTAGGAGTCCATTTACTTCAGCATTCAATTCAATAAACGTTAAGTCAACAGAAGACTCTGAAGAGTTGGAATTCATTGTTATGGGATTTAACCCATAAATCAATGAGAGATTTTTTTTCTTCACAACGGTTGCTAACTATATTCCATGTTATCACTGGAAATAAATAAGATGTGGACATTCACCAGGGCTCTTTTCTGTGGAGGAGAAGGTGGTGTTTTGGGGGCACAGGCTACCCTGGAGGGAGGAAGTAGGGTTCTGTGGTGCTTGAGCCAGTGGTGAGCGTGGAACCCCCGAGATTTAGTGTCAGTGAAGCCTGTGAGACAGATTCGGATGCTAACGACTCAGGTGCTTAGAGAAGCACAGCCCAGCTGTCGTAGGGGCAGCTAAGTTTCCCTGGGAACCCTGTCAGGAGCAAGGACCACTTCAACATTAGCCATCACTAGCTTTGTTTCGTGACAGGATTTCTTTTTTTTTTTTTTTTTTTGAGACAGAGTCTCACTCTTTGCCCGGGCTAGAGTGAGTGCCATGGCGTCAGCCTAGCTCACTCACAGCAACCTCACCCTCCTGGGCTCAAGCAATCCTGCCTCAGCATCCCGAGTAGCTGGGACTACAGGCATGCACCACCATGCCCGGCTAATTTTTTCTATATATTTTTAGTTGGCCGATTAATTTATTTTCTATTTTTAGTAGGGACGGGGTCTCGCTCTTGCTCAGGCTGGATTCGAACTCCTGAGCTCAAACAATCCGCCCGCCTCGGCCTCCCAGAGTGCTAGGATTACAGGCGTGAGCTACTGCACCCGGCCCATGACAGGATTTCTTAGTGTTGATTTCTGCATTTAGGAATTTAGTCACTGTCTGTATGGCAGTAGTAGTATGAGAGAGAGGGAATGATTCTCTTTTGAGTTTTCAGGAAAAAGTTCCTCATATGTTTCTTTTCTTTTTTTTTTTGAGACAGGGTCTCTGTTTGCCAGGCTGAAGTGCAGTGGCATCACCGTAGCTCACTGCAGCCTTGAACTCCTGGGCTCGAGTGATCCTCCCACCTCAGCCTCCTCAGTAGCTAGGATGACAAGTGCATGGCATGCCTGGCTAGAGACAGGGTCTCTCTGTGTTGCTTAGGCTGGTCTCGAACTCCTGGCCTCTAGCGATCCTTCTGCCTTGGGCTCTAAAGTGCTAGGTGTGAGCCACCGTGCCCAGCCCTCAAATGCTTCTTACTACACTGCCTTCCGGTACTTGTTTTACATGAAGGATTAGTGCAAAAGTACAAAATCGCCCCTGGGAAACATTCAGTAGCCACAAATTATTGCCGGAAATTTACAGAGTTAATGGATGTTAAATGAGGAGATAGTGGCTCAGCTCACTGAAATGTTATAGAATTAACTTCTCTGAGGAAAAGAAAAGTCAGTTTGTGTTTTACATTAATATTCTGCTTCTGGAAGTAACAGAAATACAGATTGAAGATCGTCTTTCCTCATAAAAGTATTTTTTTTTAAACCTGGTAAATATTTTGTTTTCTTTCTCCACTTTTGGTAACGTCTCAGCCACCCTAATTGCTTCTTTCTGCTTTTTCTTTATAAAAACCTGCTTATGAAAGCCTTTTCATACAGATAGTTAAATTGCTGTAGTAAGAGAATTTAGGCTTTCTGAGGGATTGGAAATAGACGTAATACACGGTTTTTCTTTTTTTTGTGTGTCCTGGAAGCCTTTGTTTAAAGTGGACGTTACAAATATACGCTCCTGAGGTGCATAAGCAAGAGAACAGGACCCCAACCCAGCCAGTAAGGAGGCTGTGTTCTTGCCGCAAGAATCTGTAGCTGACTGCTACAGATTCCTGTTCCTTGCCATGAAAATTCCAGTGAGGTGTTTTAAATGTGTGCGGTTTAAACATTTCTTTCTCTGATGTGATTGGGTGTAAGGAGGGAAAGTAGGAAGACACTTGCTCAAAATTCTGAGTGGATTGCATAGAAGTACAGAGATGTATTGGAGTTGGCCTCCTCACTTGGTGCGTCCCAGGCTTTCTCTTTCTGTCTCTTTATTCTTGCCTTGTTTCTTTAAAGAAATGTCTATGTTTTCCTCCTTTTTAGTTCTTTTAAGTCTAGTGGGTTTATTTTGCACGTAATTGGTATAATCTGGGAGGAAAAATCCAAACAGTCTTCTTGAAGCTCAAAGAATTTTTAGTAAGTGGATGAACAGCAATGAGAATTTTTGAGATATTTTGAATGCCAAAATGCTTGAGAACTTTGCCAGATTAATAATTACTTAATATATTTTAGAATGTAGGTTACCTAGGGAGTAATAGCTTTATTACTCTTGAGTACACTTGAAGAAATGAAGATTCAGTTTGCTTCAGAGTTCAGGTTGAGATTGAACCGTGGAGTCACTATGGAGCTGCCATGTCCCACAGGCCTGAGCTCAGCAAAGGTTAAGTTCAAGAGAGGAAGTCTTCACCTGGGTAACAGCAGGCTGTGCGCGGGGGGCCACTCGCTGTCAGAACTCATCTCTGCCACGTTACTGTTCTGTCTTGTCCACCGTATTCTTCTTGTGCTTCCCCTGTGTGAAAAAGCTTTGTACTGCCTCTTCTCTTGAAACCGATAAAACCTTTATTAAGCCTCAGTAATGAGCTTGCACAATCTTGTATATGTACAGGAAATTCATCCTGTCTCCTAATGTGATTAGAAATGTAAAATACCATTCTGTAAAACTGATTAAAAAGGGAGAGCGGTTTGATTCATTGGGTTTTATGTTTCCACCATCTATTTTGTATTCAGAAGCATTTCTGAAAATTTATTTGACTTCCAGATGTTACTGATGCTCTCTATGAATTCACGCTTGTCTTTTTCATCTGAACATGTAAGGTATTTGCTAAGTGTAGTGTAGGAAGGAACTGGAATGACCGAGAAGTAACTAACGAGTTGGTGAATGTCAGTTTTAACAGTTTCTATCTGACCCCCGTATTTGGTAGCTGTTCATCAGCGTTAGTTCTGAAAACAAAAGCGTTACCATCTAATCACAATATTCACCGAAGCCTTTATTAAATCTTTTCAGCAGAGGGAAGGAGCCCTAGCTCCTTCGGGCTTCCCTTGCTGGTGGAAAGGTGCTTTTTCTATATTTGATCGCACTTCATTTAGCAGGAAACATTTAGAAACTTGCTTAGGGCTCAGTTTTCATTGGCTCTGTTCAGTATTAAAACGAATGCTGTGACTTGCCTAGAACTGAAAATTGCATTCAACTTTTCTTGCCAACTTGGAATTACCTATGTCACTTGGACTCTTGTTACGTTTGTTCCCACCCAGCCCTTCCTCCAAGCACATGGCTCTGTAGCTTCTCCCCAAAGGACGCTGAGCTAATGGCAGTGCTTCGCTGGCCGGCTGCAGTGCTGCTGCAACCCGTCATGATCCTGGACGGTGAAGCCAGGCGCTAAGCTCCTCTTGGCCGTAAATGTGTCAGGGCTGAAGTATTCAGTGAAGAGCTTTCGCTTCGGTCATTTCATTCCATAAGAACTATCCATCTGCTTCGAGTAGTAAACTGTAGCCCGTCGAGTTTTTTTAAATTGACCAAAGAGCCATACTGGCTGGAAAATCTCTGGTTGTGGGGATCCAGAAAACATCTTGCGCATTTTGTGCTGAAGTGGAAACAGCGCTCAGTTCCAAGTCATCGGGCCTGTTGTGGACAACGTGAAAACCATGGTAATCTTATTTCTGTTAACTATCTAGAAATTCAGCATATTGCCGGCCAAAAGCATGAAATTTTATGCTCTCGTGAAAAGAGTACCCAATGTGATTTTAAAAACAGGAC